GGGGGGGCCATGTGAAAAAATTGGTAAGCTAAGGGGGGGTCATGCGATTTTTAAATGGTGCTTCCCAAATCCCACCAGCCCCCCCTCCCTCATAAAAAATGAGCAGTCCCTTAAATAATTTTTTTAACTTCCTTGCATTAACTTTTAGACAATTTTAGCTTTCAATTCTTTAGCTGTTTTGGCTCTCGGTCAGCTATTTTCGGTAGTTGTCTGACGTTGTTCAAAAGTCAAAATCCAAGATGGCACCTGCTTGTAGATAACGGCCACATTTCCCGTCATATGACGTCATCGTACCATGTAAAGGACCTCGGCAAATAGTTTGGACGCGTAAACATCACCCAATTTTCTTTGTAATAGCGTAATACTCTAATAGTTACAAGACGAGGGCCTTAAAAGCCTCCCCGGTCCCAGAAGACTACTAAAAGCCCGTTTGAAAAGGGTTACTGAACCCTTTCCTGTCAAAAACATGGATACGTCCTCAGCAATAAGTGTGATAAGTGACCCAGAATGAATACAAATTTTATTTTCTGAATTAAAGTGTTTTTTTAGATTATCGGTCGTCGAGCTGAAAAGGAAAAAGTCCAAATCCCGTTGACCCGATGTAGTTAGCTCATTTAGAGTTTTCATCACTCATCACGTGTGCATCGAGGAAGGAGGTAGCGTAAAGTTTTGTATGCGTCTGTTGATTGTACCGAGTACAGTACAACCAAGTACGATTGTACAGGCGCGTTGACCATTCTGAAATAAGAATATATTCTGGAATTTTCTTAGAACAGCAATTCCGACCGCACGTCAATGTGAACAATTCACTTGGCAAATAACCCAAACCGTGGATTCTTGGGCGTTGTTTGAGTTAAATTTTGGAAACAACTTCCTCGAGTGCTCATGCAAGGGGATAGAAGAAAGGAGAAGGAAAATTTCTTTCGAACTCTTACTGATTCCTGAAGTATGGATATGCCTATTAAAACCTATTTCAGCGTCGACGACGGAACGAAAACTGGGCTTATTATTCCGAGTTTTCCGCCCGCTAAAACGGAATGCTTGGACACGACACAATTTCTTTTTATCCCGGAGTTAGGTCAATCGAACGCACCCAATCCTACCTCACTGATAGTTCGAATCCTTAAAACACAATTTCAAAATTTCGATCAGATAAATAAGTCGGCGCGTATACGGCACGTCAAAACTATTGGCCGGTAACATTTAAAGCGCCTGAGAGGGTGTTATTGTTTTGAAGATGGCAAAGGCTTAATTGCAATTTAGTGGTTTCTAATTTTTTAAAAAGAAATATCTCGGTCAACCACATAGCTTTGAGAGCGTCGCCATTTTGTGAATGGTGTGCGTTACCCTTAAATAAAATAAGTCCTTTGAATAATAGGTGCTTTTAGTAAGAACTGAGAGTTTTAAAAATACGCTAAGTGTATTTCAATGAATTGTCGATAACATTAGCGCTTTTAGGAGAGCTTACTTGGGAAGAAGTTTTTTTGGACGATATGAAATAATGTCCACTAGCAATTGGCTAGTCCACAATTCCAATAAAATTGATTGATCCATTTATATTTAATTTCTAATCGGAGAATATAAAAACAATCGGTAATTCCCCTTTTTCCTTCAGCACAAAATTGTAAAATTTGTTAAACAATCGCAGCTTTTTAGGCGTTTTGAACTAGACAAAAATTCTTACAGTACGTTTGTCTTGATCATGTGCTGTCAGTAGTTGATGGACAAAAACATCTCATCTGAACTGTTCAATATTAATACATACGCCGATTCAAGCAACTTCTTATTTATCTAAAAAGCGCACATATACATATAGAGTTTACTGCGTTTGTATCTTGTAAGGTTTTTTTTCCTTAATTTGATACATCTTTTTAATGGAACACTTATTGCCGACGTTGACCCATCATCACATTTGGGCATATCAGTGTGATTTATTTTTGCGTAGCTCCAATTCTGTTTGGGTCACCTTGATTCCGTTTATGGTACGTAGCACCTTCATTTGAAAGCTTGTCAGTTTATTTGTTATGAAATTGCTACAATAACTTGGCGCATAAACTAATGCAAAGAAAACGCTTTTGTTGTATTTTACAAGCTTTCACCTGTATTTGTTTGAACAGTAGACTTCTGGACTTCAGAAGGTGTGGAACTTGCCAGAAAAAGCCAAAGTTTCCCTACTAAATACAAATGATTTTCTCTTTCTTTTTCTCGTTAATTCGAAACTAGCTCAAACGTTTTCTATACAGACGTTATTGAAGCAGATAAATTTTTGTGAACTTCATTTGAAATCGCAATTAAGCAGAACAGAGATGACATTACAAAAAAATAAGGGGTGGAAAACCTATAAACAGAATAATTAGTCGGTTTTTCGGCTTTCAGATATATCGGCACAATTAGCGACCTCAATTATATGACTTATTTTAAAATTTAACGATCGTAAATCAATTCGTCTGCAAGGCATTTCAATTTAGATTTAGAAAAAATAATGATATTCTCTGTATCAAACAGGAACTTAATTATTTGTGTTGTTTTAAAATAGAGTTTGTGGCGCCATTCTTGGTTATCACAAATTTAGTAAAAGGATGTAAAACATGTAGAAGATTCTAGCCACGAAACACAACGGGGAGCCTTTGTTTACCAAAAGCCAATTCCAAGTCCTGTTTTTGTTACCAAAGGGGTGTTTTTACTATTTATGATTGCTTGCGTTATTTCCTTTTATCAGTTACAATGTCGATATTCATATGCAAAAGTCGAGATTTCTTTTCTGAAATTCAGTGTAACCACGGCAAAGAAAACGTTTTCCTCTAGAGGCTTGGTTTTTCTAGGTCATGTTCCTTTCTGAAGTGGTTCAAGGATATAATCAGAGCGAAATCTTTCACTTTCAAAGACCGAAAATGGATCCAATATCGTATTTAATGTAACAGATTCCAAATAAGGTTACTTGAGGTTTCTGAAAACAATAAGAAGGTCTAAAAATACATTTATTCTTCCGCTTTCTTTGTGAATTTTTAAGGGATTCTTTTAATCAAATATCAGCCATATTTTATCTAATTTCTTTTCTGCCCCAAAAAATTCAGCGCATTTATGTTTTCCGATGAAAAGATCGGCAAACTTCTATGTGGGCGTTTAAACACAGTTATCTGTCACCGTTACTGAATCAAAGGCTATTGTAATAAACTTATTGTAGATGAATGCATACACAAAGCATTTCAAGCAACTGAAAAAATAACCAAGACAAATCGATGCCGGCTTGCATTATTGCAAAAAAATTATGTTTCCATTCGCTTGTCGCGTGCTTTTAGATAGGTAAAAGTTGCTTGGTTACTGCATTCACTACTATCAATACCAGATTGTAAGAAATTGCTAAGATGAGTTTTAAAATGCCATCAAAGATATTTTAATCATAGCTATTCCTGGATCGGAACTCACTTAAAATTGTGGTTTTTTAAAGTGAAAAAAGCTTTAAATATTTAAAAATAGGTGCGGCACCGTTTATCATTTAAATTCTGTTTTCCAGCTGCAAAAACAACGGCGTGGGGGCCTGTCTTAAGCTTATAAGATGACTACGCACGATTCCTTTTCTTCTGTTGCCTCGGATTTTTCCTCTTCAGCGAAGCCGACCAAAGACCAGTACTATTAAAACAATGAAAAGGAAGTTAGTTCCTAATAAAATCAAATGAAGAAGGCCACGCAATAACGTTTGAGAAATAATAATAACGTTTCGCAATGGCAGTGTAAATAAATTCTTGCGATAAAAAAGTCACATTTGCATAATGCATGTACATGGCCATTTTTCGGCTGGATTCAATTTTGTGTCAAGATCACATCGTCGGTTAGTATGAAAGAATTAAAAAAATACTCTGTTGATTTAATTCGATTTTGCCTTACAGCTCAAGCAAAACAAAACAATGGCAATGTTTATTCATCGCCAAAGATAAATTGTTGATCCAGTATCTTTTGAACGTGTTTTGCCCTGAAACGCAGTGCCAATGAAAACCGCGAAAAACCTTGAGCGATTATTTGATGAAGCTTTTATGAAAAAGATCATTGTCACTCTCCCGTATTGACAACTCCCACTTTCCATTGTTTTCAGACTAACCTTAAATTTGTAAATGTAAATTGCGTTTCGCAGCTTATAAACAGTTTGTCTCAGCTGTTTACATTGCGACCAAGGTGGTTTAAAGTGCTCCAAATTATACTATTCTCACACCACGCCACTCTGGCCGAAGCTTTCATTACTTTAGTCAGTGCGATTGTTGCTTTGTGTTAAGGACGTGGTTAAGTCGCTTGGAATCGGCGTCTCCTGCTGAAGGTTTCGAGATCATGACAGTATTCATAGCCGAAGGGCCCTCACTGTGATTTCCCTGCATCAAGGACCAAATTATGTTGATTTTTTCGGACGTAATCTTCAGGTACGAAAGCCGGCGTTAGTTTCGAAGTTGCGTCGGCGTTTCTGGTTGCTGTTGAGAGCAGAGTGACTGGAGATGGAGAACGAATCGACAGATTCTAAGGAGGACGATTCGTCGAAGCAATGTCAGAAATTCGGGCAAGAAACAATTACTACGGCTAAAAAGATTTTAGACACGGTTGACAAGGACCTAGTCGTTCCGAAGTTGTCTTTCTTCTTCTTCTTCATGGCAACCGGCGCTTTCTTACCGTATCTTGGTGTGTTCTACAAGCAGCTTTGGCTCACCGCTCGTCAGTCTGGGATTCTGCTCGGGATTCGTCCATTTGTCAAGATGTTATGCTCTCCTCTCTGGGGAATGGTCACGGATGTCTGCAATAAACCCAAGCTTATTCTCCTCGTCTCTATTTTAGGAACAACTGTGGCCCATTTCTCCCAGAGCGTAGTTTCACCGTTTCATCTGCCGTGCTATCCAGAGATGAACAGGACGAACTTCAGCTATGCCAGGGCAAAATTTCTTGCAGGGTACGCTTCCGACCGCTCTTCGCGACAAAGCGGTTTTCCAGCCGTTAAAACGCATTTGCAAAACGGATCTTCCCTCAGGAGTGAACAAGGACAAGGAAAAGCAAATATTTTACATTTTGAGAATGACGACAACACAGTTTCTCGAAACTCGAGTGCGGCAGGAAAATTACAAGGAAATACAAATTATAAGTACGAAGAAGATTTCAGGAAGGACGCAGGGCAAAGTTATAACCCGGACGGGGTTGTTGCCGCTCAAGATAGAAGCATCGAAGATCTAGGGACCGAGCCAAGACATGAAGATAAACCACGAGAAACCAGTGAAGCAAAAACTAAAATATTGACAAAAAACAAAAAGCGCAAAAATCCAAACATGAAGAATGATTTCCGCGTGAAGGACAACCAAACGATTTTCGTGACTTTGCTCGTGATTGTGTTTCTGGGGGAATTTATCGCTGCGCCAGCTCCCATGTTGACGGACAGTGGTACTCTTGGTATCTTGAGTGGACGAGAGCACCAATATGGCCGGCAAAGACTTTTTGGGTCTATAGGCTGGGGAATCGGCTCACTATTGTCAGGGGCAGTAGTCACAGCTTTCAACTCGTGCCCATTTGAAGACAGCATCAACTATGTGCCGTGTTTCTACGTGTTTGCCGCCTCCATGATCTTCGACTTCTTCGTGGCGTTCTTCTTCAAGTTCCCCTCAGCGCCACCGAAACACGAAACTGCGAACGCGGAGAACGAGTTCTGGAAAGGACTGAAGATATTTTGTAACCTGAAGAACGGAGCTTTTATCTTCACCCTGCTGTTTCTAGGCTTCTCTCACAGCCTTCAGCTTTCATTCCTGTTTTGGTTTCTTCAAGACATTGGCGGGACACCCATTCTCTTCACTCTCATTGTTGCTGTGAATTGCCTTTCCGAGGTGGTGATGTTTTTCATGGCGACCTACTTTGTGCAGAAGATTGGCCACGATGCCGTCCTTTACACAGGTCTAGGCTGCTATGGGTTGAGATTTTTGCTGTACTCGTATCTTCAGGAGCCCTGGTGGGTTTTGCCCTTGGAAGCTCTACAAGGCTTTACCTATGGAGGAGTTTGGACGGCGAGTGTGGCATACGTTGGGCCCCAGCCAGGTGAGACTCCTTCACGTTTCTTTGGCTCATTAATGAATTGTTTATTTAACTATAAAATTTATTTTCCACATGACTCAGATTTTGGTGAATCAGATCGAATTTCAGTTTATTCCGTAATAATTTCAATCCTAACCACCATTTCAATGCGTCTTCTTTCAAATATATTCTAGGTAAAAATTAAGTGCAATCTGAGTAATCGCTAATCCTAATTTTCCAATGGTCGTGTCGCTCCAATATTTGAAATTGTGCTTTTCGGAACAAACAGAATAAAATAGACTAGTTTTTCTCGATTGTTTGTTCGTGCTTGCGTGATCAGAAGGACCCCAGGCGAGGAAGGTACCGGGCAACGTTGGAGAGCATTTGTTTTGGGGATCGATACCTTAAAATATCGTAAAAGGCACTTCTACTTAACAAAACATTAAGTTTATGTATTTCTGGAACTAGATAAAAGCGCACAAATATAGAAGTGTTTTTTAAGCAATTATAATAGTCCATAGTCTCTCTCTAAACTGAACGATCACTCACTCAAAGCTTCAAGATGAAAGCAAATTAGTTGAAAAATATTGTCCTGTCTAAAGAGCCCTCACAATAGGCTATGCAAAAAAATGATTCTTATTCAAATCGGTTCTAATTGATTAAAAAACCTGAGGACACTCAAGTCAATTTTTGACACCACACCTCACACTTAAGCTGCTTTAAATTCACTTCTACTGGTTAATCAATTTCGTCTAGCGACAAAAAAAATCGATAATTGCGTCGCTGAAGCCACAAATTCATCGTGCAATGATGATGCTCGCGGCCAAAGTAATAAATACCGTTAATAATGTTCTAAACTAATGGAACTTATTTTCAAGAAAAGAATGGCGGGTGAAAGACTCATACATCGAAATAAAACTCTCTAATGTCGGGCAGATGTAAAAACTTAGGTTTTTTAGTTCTTGGCGTATTTTTGTGGTGAACACGTTGCCAAGACACCATTGCAGTGACTTTATTTTTAATTTTAAAGTAAACTGACTCACTGAATTATTGATATCCTCTTTATAAGCTTAATCCTGATTTTCTTTATAAGACGCTAATCAACTTTCCTTCTTTCCGGAGCATCTGGAAGTTTTCCTTTGAGATTTTTTGTCAATAAAAGCTTGTTTGTCGTCTCTGGATCCGGCGGTTTGTTTCGTCCACCTAAATTAAGTGTAACAATAAGATATTTTACAATTTTTGCGGTTAAGATAAATCCTCTTTTAGCTCAATGACTAAGTTATGCAGTTGAAAATTTTACCCCCTTAAAAAGAATAACCAAAACTGGTAATATATCTTTTGCCGACTAAACGCTGTTGTTTTGTTTTGTTCGTTAAATATCACAACCAAACAACGCACAGGGTTTTTTTGCCATTTTGAAAACGCTTAGTAAATCGAATGTCAAATATTTTCACCAAATTTTATCGTTAGAATACTTAACCGATCAAAATTTGAAGGACCAAATGATTAAATTTTATTCAATGACAGAAGGCCTGCGGAGTTTATGCACCTTTTCAGTGAGACTCAGTCCAAAGTACAGACCTGCCATTGCATATATGCGTAACTTCCAGCCACCGAGCGCAACTACAACATTCGATCAGTAGATATTTTCCCAGATGCCTCAAGTGTGCGGACTGAACGTTATCTTTCAGAAATGATTGCAATCATACAGGGCGTTTTTGACATTAGATTCTCATACAAACTCTTCTATTTCATGGGATAATCACCCCTTTTTAAATTGACGGGAAAGTCTTCGAAATCCTCATTTCACTGGGCGTTAAACTTTACTAAAATGTTTTTATGCCAAACACAATTCTCTACTCTATTTGTTTCCAGGTTCCGGAGCAACAATTCAAGGTATAATCCACGGGGTGTACTGGGGTCTAGGTATGGCAGTGGGTGGAGTCATCGGTGGAATGATGGTTCATGAAATTGGTGCGCGTCTGACATTTCGCCTTGAAGCGGCTTTCTCTTTCGCAATCCTTGTTCTATTCTTCGCCGTCAACAACGTCCATGAAAAAAGCACTCGTTATTCTCAGATTCCGTCAGAACCTCAGGAAACTTTGGATGACCATGACGGAGCCGCGGGCCAAGAATTAGAAAGTACAATGGGTACTAAATGAAGTAATGTTTAGACCTAATTTTATTTCTTAACGGTCTCAATAATTCTCAAGCGGGGAAAAGTTTATTTTTTATTGCTTTTATTATATGTACAGTTGCCCCGAAGCAGATTTTATTTATTGCGGATTTGGGAAATGTATTGGTTTCAAAGCCATCTTTGTCACAAAGTGACTTACAATTATTCAATATAAATGGGTAATAATAATTAATTTTCGTTTCCCAACCCGACTAAAGTTTAAAAAAAATTGAAATTGTACAGATCGATAAAGTAAGACATTTAGCTGAGTGTAGTTTGACCTTCCTTTTTAGATACACTTGGTCGGTCATTGCTTAGACTATAATATGACTATGACTATGGTCACTCCTTAGACTATGATCACCAAACCTTAGACACAAACCATTATTTAGCTACACTTTTTTTTAAACCAAAGAAGACCTGTCTACTATTCACACTTGTGAATAATGTGAATACCGTAAACTGCCGCTTGTAAGCCCTAGGCTTTAATAACTTCGTAAGGGCTTTTGGATGGGCTTATAAATGGAGGGGTGTATATCCGGGGATGCTTATAAGTGGAATAAAGAAAACCGTTTTGATATATAAGCTAAAGAGGAGTTGATCGAAATACGATTTTATTGGAGTGGTTTCAGTTTTGGCTTTAAAACATCATAACAAATCGATTCATTTCACTTTAATTTAAACTAGAGGGAGATATCCGGGGAAGCTCATGATCGGATGTAATATTTTGTTTACAGGTAGATTGGGCCTATAACTGCAGGGGCTTATAAAAGGCACGAGTTGTAAGCGCAGTTTACGGTATTTGCGGGTATCACGCTTCGCATGTATGAAGCACTGTAAAGAATCAAGCATTATTTTGAATCACGTTTATTTTTGTATGCCACTGTTGATCAGGGGCGAGTTTGTTCAAGCTAAATGAATGTAATGTAGAATTGATGTTCCAATCATAGTGAAACTTGTCTATAAGATGACTATAGAGTGTGGTGAACCTTGGGTGGCTCGTAATCAACAAGAGATTGCCTTTGGTGCTTGAAATCGTTTTTTATTCTTTTTTCGGCGAAGGGGGCTTGTGCAATTGTAACAGCCTCTCTCGGCAGTCCTTTCCGGATGCAAACTGATAAGCCACTGCACTAGATGAGATAGTTTGTTTTTAATAGGGTGCCAGTGCATCAGTTGGGTATTTAAATGTTAATTATTTATGTGAAGATATTTAAAAAGTAAAAATAGCCGTGTTGGCTACATTTGATTCTACTAAGGTTCGAGAATGGAAAATGGAGTTAGCATAAATTTCGATGTAAAAATTACAACACTGTGAGCTGCAAAACGACAGATGCTATCGACCAAATTGAACCAACATGTAGTGGGTCACTGAATTTCTCTTTGACAAGTTAGTAAATGGTGAAAATTAAATCCTGGGTTTGTAGGTAATAACGTTGAAAAGGAGATTATTTTTAAGTCGCCTTTATACAGCCATACCCTGCTGGACAGGTGCGTTGTTTTAACACGATGTGTTTCAGTAGAATGGTGAGTAAACTAACTTTTAGCGCGCAAGTGAAGGATTTTGCCTTGTAATTTGGGACGTAACTTCACCGTCAGCAGGTCCAAAACTTCGCTATCGACTTGAGGAATTATTGAATCGGTATATCAGCTTACCTAATTCTGTTTACAAATGAAGGTCTCTCAGCAGTTGCAACATTGCGGATTTTTGCGCGCAATGTTTTTTAAATGTGTAGACGCCATCTAAACATGTTCTCAATAGCTTAACTGAACTACTAGTCACTCCCAACCTCCAATATCTTCATAAAAGACATCCAATCGATTGCATGGCCAATCCCTTGACAAAACACGACGATCAGTTAGGGTATTCTAATTCATTAGAATTTCAGTACCTTAAAAGATACTAAAACTCTACGATTTATTCCTCTGGGCTACTTCCCTACTTTACTTCTATCAGTTTAAGTGGCATGCCTGTGAACTAGCTTGGTTTAGCTAAGCGCATTGACCACTATAAACAACAACATTTGAACTTTTTCTTTCTGAACTGTTGCGAGCAATGCTGTCTGCAATCTTGCAGCGCCCGGTGTGCCCAGATAATTAACCGAGCCAAATTAAATCTATTGAAGACGACAGCGGTATTGTTGGAGATTTGTCAAGTTATCAGAATTTTTATGCACGTTGTTTTAAAACAAATAGATATACACTTCTATTAATGCTAGTGAACAATAAAGTCTTCTTTCTCGGTGAACAATGTCTGATTTGTGCCATACACCACATTGCCCCTCACAATAAGTTAACAATTAATGAAGCTCTGTTTTTTTCCTGCATTTTAAGGGATTTGGAGCTTGGACTCCACCAAGCTATTTGAGGAGGGGGAGACAAAGTTCAAATCATTGCCACCATAACTAAGTACGTCCAATCCTCGGTATTGGGTATACACGAAGAAACAGGGATGCAGATTATAAAGGCAAAACTTGGGTGGCAGAGAAGAAAGGAGAGCGTCGGTTAGTTTGTAACATATACCATAGCCTAGAACAGGGGTGCCGTTCTCAAGGGATGACAATAGGTCAGACAATACGATAGTAGCATCCTGGAGAGATCTGCACCTATCACCGAGGGTAGCCATAGCACTTTCTGCGGGGAGAAGTACAGCCTGGGAAGCACCCTGAAACCAGAACCTTATTTACCAGGCAACTAAAATAAACTAAAAGTAAAAACTAAGAACAATGGTTGTGATGCAGATAAAAACGTTGCATTAATTATTAGTGAAAAGTGATCTGCATTTTGATGAAGGTTCTGGGTCCAATATCATTGTATGGAAGGGCGAAATAGGAGAGAGCTATCAGTTGAGGGAGGGAGGGAAGCAGAGAACAACTTAGCTTGACAAGACAGGGTCAGAAACAACGGGTGATTGGCATAGAGTTGAGGTGAGGCAGAGCATGTCATGATCATATGGAAGCATGAAGGGGAAAACTGCACGGAGCTTTGTCAGTCATACGAGTTTCTATTCAACAGATAGACTCCATGTTGCCGTGCGACTGTTCAGTAATAGATCACAGATGACGTCAAAATATGGTAAGAACGAAAATATTCTTACCACACTTTGACATCTTCTATGATCTATTACAGAATTTATATAATAAAGAAAAAACTTTTAACGACGTCATCTAAGCATCTCATAACATTTCTTGAGACTATTTTTTGTTTGAGTTTAAGGTGTTATTATTTCAGTTGAGATTCGTCTTTCAATTTCCATAGAGTTCGAAACTTTGTTAACGTATGTTTTATGGATAAGGCCCCGGGCGTGCACACAAACGTTTCGTTTCACAACGCACTCATTTCGATGCGTTTTCGACTACCGTCTCACCACAACGAACGAAAACGTTCCTCGTTTCAGTGATCGAAAACGCACACCGTATGGTTTCAAACCTCTGTCCAGAGTAGAGACATTTGAAAAAGGAACCCATCGTACTGTGTTGACTCGGAAAACGGGGGCTTCCGAAAACGTTAACGCAATTCGCAATTCGTCAACGCAATTCGTTTTACATGCGCATGCGCAAAACATGTTTGCAGTGTTCTACGTTCTCGAGCGTTCAGTGTGAACGGGACGCCAATTTTTTTTTATGAGTTTACGGTCGGTACGAAAACACATCATCGAAAAGGCTTACCCTGGAAAACGCATTACCGGGTCTGGCTAAATGATTTTTACGTGGTAAGATGATTTGCCCTCCATCAAGTACAAAAGTTCTTCATCGGTAATTAGTCTATTATTGAAAATCAGTGAAGCTCAGTTCTAAAAAGTTAATTAGAGATTTACTTGTGCAGATTCCATGCATTCCCATGGTGACTATTCAGTTCGATTTCTAATATCATCGGAACGAGCTTTCTGTCATAGTGAAATTGAAACCCCAAAAGTAAACTTTGTTTCTCTAGCTTGTCGCGTGAAGTAATCTTTTCAGCATTCAGAAACAGCTCCGAAGCTAAGTATTCCTAAGACTGAATGGAAACTACGAAGGCTTGCGTTGAAGACCCAGCGGGGAATGTCATCCGAAAAAAATATTTATTCAGTGATGTACTAGTTTCAATTCAGGGCTATATGAAAACCGTTTAATAACTTGCCATAAAAAGTTGAAAGTGTGCGTGAAGTTTTTTAACACAGCAAAGTTGCTCCTCGATACCTGTGGTCAATTGAAACTCGGCTTTAACGTAAATGACAGCGCATCCCTTCGAATATGATTGATAAATTTCAATGACATGCTGACAATGAATTCTTTTTTCCCCTGTGCTCTTAATAGCGGAATTTTTTTACTAAGGAAGGTGTCAACGCCTCTGGGGCTGAGAGCGTTCACTCTTGCCTTAAGGATAAAAAACTCGCGGCAAATTCCAAATAAAGGAAAAACCTTGGTTTGATCCTTTTATTGTTTTTTCAAGACCTGTGTTTTAGTTATGCTTCTTTGTTGTCGTGCAATAATGGTTAGCCGGAGGGCAAAGGCTCGGAATTAAGTGACCTCGCATGTTTTGAAGCTGTATGGCTTCCGTACGTTTTGGCTTATTTATCAAAAGCCAGGCAAAGCTGATTAATCTCACGGATGCCATAAACAATTCTCGGGAGCCATTGCCATACGATGGGCTCTTGTAATTTTGCAGTTATGTGTAGCACGGGCTATTCATTCAAATAATCTCTAGCCCGTCTCCACATTTTCATTTGACAAGATACCGCCTCGAAACACATCTGACCTGACAGATCTGATATAAATGCAGGCGTAAACGATGGCCGATCGACAGGTCTTTTATTTGTCGTTTTCGTTTATTTGCGCCAAAACGTCATTGACGATCTTTAGATCGTTTGCTGCCAAGCTGTTTAATTAACATGCGAATAGTTTGCGGTTGACTGCCCGCAATTGAAAGATATATAAATTAACCGTATTAACATATTGGGTTACGAGGGGTGATGGATATGGCTTTTATTCTTGCATGCAAATGTTGTTGTGAGCGGCGGATGAGTTTCGGTTTGACAAGAGGAAGGCGTTTTCTTCCGTTGTTTTCGAAGGTTTCAAGAAAATGTGAACCTTAAGATCGAGTGCTGTTCGACAAATAATGATTCCTTCTTCATACCAGCCTATTGGATCAGACTCACCCTCTGAAAACGACGAGAACTTCGACCCTGAAAGCGATGAAGCCTCACAACAGTCAAAATGGCGCAAAGCTATCCAGAGAGTTCGAAAAGCAGACAAGAGTTTCCTGGTGTCGAAGGCTTTCTACTTCTTCTTCTACACAGCTTTGGGCTCACTATTTCCATTCTTTAGTCTGTTTTACAAGCAGCTATGGCTTACTCCTGGGCAAATTGGTCTTTTGCTCGCTTTGAGGCCAGCTGTGAAACTTGTGTGCTTGCCGTTGTGGAAAATGGTCACGGATAGATTTAGCAAGCCAAAAGTCGTGTACTTTATCTCAATCCTTGGATGGACTGTAGGTTATTTTGGCCAATCCTTCGTTTACCCGAACAATATTCCTTGTTATGGATATGCCGCGGAGGGTTCAACAACTCATGAATTTGTACTTTCAACACCAGCTTCATCACTTCTCAACTCTAGCGTCAAATCTGACAGCAACATTTCCACGAGAGAGCTAGTTCTAAATTCGCATCTTTCCGACTCCTTACAAGAATGGGATCCAAGGAATTACAAGGACTTAAAAAAGATGAAAAATACTGAAGGGAGTTTATTGAAGAACGTTAAATCATTGAAAACAATCGACAATGGCGCTAGAAAGGCACAATTTGTTTCAACGTGGTCACAACTGAATGGGCATGATGTAAATGAGGACGAAATGCATGCAAATGTAGAACCACGAGCATACAGCTTCAATCAAAGAATCGAAACTCCTGTTGCTCTTTCAAAACAGAAACTCCATATGGAAACTATAGCAAATCGTGGCTTGCCAGTTAAGGACGACAGCCAAGCTAAAGTTCCACACGAAAATAATAAAGAACAGCTTTTGTCAGATTCAACAGAAAACAAAATAGTCAAGAAAAAGAAAGACTATGGAATCCGGCCGTACGAGACAAAGGGTAACATGGTCAAAAGCCCAAGACCAAAAGAAGATTTCCGCGTCGCATATAACACCTGGGTGTTTCGCACTCTTGTTCTTATTGTGATTCTTACCGAAATCATCACGACACCAACACCAATGCTGGCAGATAACGCCATTGTACGATCCCTAGTGGAAACTGACAGTGAATATGGTAAACAAAGATTGTTTGGTTCGCTCGGACTCAGTCTCGCCGCCATTCTTGTCGCTGTGTGGGTGTCCTTGATGACCGACTGTGTGTATACAGATACCATCAACTACCTGCCCTGTTTTTACCTTTTCGAGATCGCTATTGGCATCACAGTGTTGGTGTCGCTTTGTGTCGAGTTCAACAGGCCACTTGAAGGGGAGCCGAACGGGTACGAATTCCAGGATGCGATGAAGTTGTTCAACAACTTCAAAAATGGCGTGTTTCTGGTAACGCTGTTCGCGTTTGGATACTTCCACAGCCTTCAAAATGCCTTCCTGTTCTGGTATCTTCAGGACCTCGGTGGAACTCCCGTTCTGTTCAGCATTATCTTGCTTGTCTATTGCCTGGCCGAAGTGATCATGTATTTCCTGTCTGGTCACGTGGTCGAGGCCATCGGCCAACAAGGAATGATCTGCCTTGCTTTCGCTTGCTACACCGCTAGATACCTCATGTACACCTACTTAAAGGATCCCTGGCTTGTAATCCCGATGGAAATGGTTCAAGGGATCACTTATGGAGGAGTGTGGTCGATTGCTGCTGTATACGTGAACGCACCGCAAGGTTGGTACACCGGGCGGGGGGAGGGGGGTTAATTCGCCCCCGGGCTTGTAGAGGTTGTAAATCTGAAATATCCCAAAATCCATAATGACTAGTTAGAAAGCCATGAACCACCGGACTGAAGGTTTGACTATGACAGAACTGGCCAGCATTCAGTGATTCTGTATTCATGTGGTTTAATTAAGACTACTCGCTGACCTTCCCCCAGTGGATATTCCAGCGATGACGTGCGGGGAAAACATGGCCACAAATAAATCACCTTGATTTCCTCAAGCACTGAGTATCGAAATAGATCTGTTTGGCTAACCTCGATGTTCTCCTTTTTCAGTACACCATGTGACTGATCGCTCAAGTTGTGTTTCTATATTTCAGTTACTTAAGCTCTCGATTTATCGCACGCAACACAAGAAAATGCTTCACCGCCGTACAATTTCTCTGTACTGGTCTCTATGCATTTTGTACGGTACAAAGATAAGATAATTTTACATGACCTTTGTCTTTGGTGATCAGTTTAATAGAACATTGCACCCGAATTTGTGTAATATACTAAATAACTCCAAATTTGTCACTTGGCACTGATTTTTTTTTTTTTATATTTTGTCCTCCAGAGGCGACGCCCATGGTTCAAAGCATTCTCCATGGATGTTACTGGGGACTGGGAATGGCCCTGGGCTCAGGAATCAGCGGTGTCATCATTGATTCTGCGGGCACGAGCACTATGTTTCTTATCGCTGCGGGAGTCTGTTTCCTCTTGTGCATGTTTCACTTAGGCATAGACATTTACAACAAAATGAAGGCTTTAGAGGAAGAACAGGAGCAAAGGTTGGCTGCTCAACGAGGGGATGCCAAGGCATCCAAGTCAAAAGACAGTAAAGACAGTAATTTTATTGGGGCAGCGGCTGCTCCCCTAGTGCCATGCCTTCTTTACGCAAGATAAAGTTAAAAGTATTTCATTGACGAGCTAATTTGACTTCAGTTTTGTTGGTGGCGAACTCGACCAAAACATTTGCGAATTCTAATGACGTGTCGTCGTTGAGAGAAGTGGTTTTCGGCGTGCTCATGTACTTCATTCAACAAATACGACCATGAAACCCGCACAAGTGGGACCCGTTTCTCGAAGGCCCCGGAATCTTTTTGGGCCCGAAAAATCCATTTTTAGTTAATCGGTATTTAAAGACAGGGATATGTGTACGCCTGAAACTTCTTGTGTGAAGAGAACCTCTGTTCGTATTAAGAAGATGTGAATAAAACAGCTCTGTAGTCAAAAGGTTTGGGATTTTGCTACGGCTTTTCGGGTGCGGAAACTTTTCGGGACCCTCGAGAAACGGGCCCTGAACGTACACATAGCTAGGATTAAATGAAGTTTCCAATTTATCAAAAAGAAATATAAATTATGATAATTGCTTGTAGAGTCTGTCCATAGACGTTTTTTTTTTTTTTTTTTTTGTCATTTATTTTTCTTCTAGAGCGATAGCAAAGCGCGAGAGCGACCATGAAGGAGGCGAAAAAAGGTCTTTCCCTAGCCCCAACCCCCTTGCGTTTTGGCTCGTTCATATCCCCTGTGGTTAATATTTTGCTTCCGATCTTGACAAACTAAAGACAAAAGAGGGTCTGTGGATAGATTATAAAGGAGAATAAACCTTGACTTCTGGGTCGATTTTCGTACCAGACTTTCATCAGAATATCTAAAGATAGAATGGTATCTTAATTGACCTATTTTCTCTAAAGTTAGCTAAAGTCCTATCAAGTCAGCGAGAGTTGAATAAAAACCGCGCGGCAGACCAGGGAGGAAGGGCCAAGGCCAGATTACCAGCCGCTGTACGGGAAAGGAGCCCGCGCTCCTCCCCCGAAATCGTCAGAAAGCGGCGGAAATCGAGCTTAGGAAGGACTAAACTAAGAAAAGTAGAGTTTAGAAAGGGGAGCAGAAGTGAGTAAGCAGTTTAATGTACTTTAAGTTCGATTACTGTACGAAAGAGTACAAAAATTTGCGGAAACGTGTGAGCGTTCATTGACACGGATACAGTCCAAACAAATTCGAAAGAGGATAGGTAGGGAGTCCTTTATTTCTTTCTCTCTATATCATTATTTTTATTATTCTCTTTATTTATTTTATTTTTTATGGGGTGTGTAATGAAATAATGGAATACAAACAATATAACTTCAAGTTACGAATAAATTATATTTTTTGTTCTGATTTCTATGTAGTGTTATTTCAACAGTGGGAGATTATGGCGTACTGTGGTGGGATGGGAGAGTGTGGTCGTCTAAAGCTAGAAAACTCAAGAACACCGCATAGTTATTGAGCGTTTAAACACTTAGAAGCTGTTTTAAAATCATTCAGACTATTTAACGGACTCTGATTGGTCGACTATCTGTTTTGCATGAACTGGCTCGATCTAAAAATGATGACGTCAGGCGTATATAAAAGAAATTGCAGGTAAAATTAAAAATTGACTGCTGTGTGAGAATTGGAGAGAGTATGATTCAGTGTTATCGGTTTAATCCTTTTTAAAGATCACTTTATTGCGCGAGGCTTACAAGTAGCTGCTATCTGGATTCCAAAGGCAAGCAAGGCTTCCGCCGTCACGCTATTCAGCGCTGTAAAACCGTTTGTGACTAAAGTAGTCTTGCGTGATATGATGTAAAATGTCACAAGGCCATCATCAGACAGTCGAATCATTCTACGGTATCTGCATTTGACATCTCATTGATAGCTTTATTGCAGCTTGGGTTCAGTTAAATGTTATGGCGTCCTTCCAGAAACAAGCGACACTTCTCATATTTCTCGGTGTTTTCTTTCTGACATCAGCCATCGCCGAGCGTGTCCTTGATCAGGATAAAATCGACTGCTACCCTGAAGTTGGAAACCAAACTCTTTGCGAGGCTCGGGGATGCACATGGGAGCAATCAGGCACTAAGGTACTAAAACAGTAAAGGCCGATAGAATCAGCCATTACATGAGGAAATATGTATGTGAGTAGTTAACATAACGAAGGGAAAGTCAGATTACGCTAAAAACACAACTGCTCCACTAAGGAAATAGAAAGACCATTGGCAGGTTTGTAACAACTCTATAACCCTAAGTGACGCCAGATGGAGTCCTGTCGAGTGTGCGTCCATTTTTTATTAATCCTTTGTGATCTTGGCTTGCCTGCAGTCAGAAGTCAAGCCCAGATTTTATACACAGAAAACTCCATTGACTACTAGTAGTTTCTCCTTTTCCCGAGCCTGTTGTTGCGAGAATATCTTATTATGATGTAATCCGATAGCGTGTTTAGCCTAGTATTTCAACCTTTTAGAGGCAGGCGTTACTCTGGCAGTTGGTTGTCACGGCAACCTATTGCAGCAGGATGCATTTGATCCTTTTCATCAATTTTTTCGGCAAACAATCTATTGTTTAGCTGTCAATTTTACATTATACCTACTAAGCTGTTTGAACAAAAAATGCAAACTACTTCATCTGATCTGAAATTGATACAAGATTGACGAGGATTTTTGTAGCACATTAAAATCCATCTGCATTTGTACGAATTTTTCTGTCAATTTAGGTAATAAAATTATCGACAAGAGAATAGAAAAGGGGCTGCTCTTTCTCTGAATTTGTGTTCTCATTTGAGGCCATTCAAGTTTGAAGTCAAGAGCGAGTGTCAAGTGTAAATATTTTTTCAAGTAAAAACAAAGGGACAGGTCGCTCCTGTCACACCACCCCTAGGATTGTCAGCAAATCAGGGAAAAAGAAAACCAGGAAAACGTAAAATTATAAGAGAATCGTCAGGTCTTATTATATAAACCAGCAGTAAGTTGCTGCTGTTATAACTGCCAGATAACAGCTGGTATTTTCTTCTACAGGGGGTTCCGTGGTGCTTTTTTCCAAAATCGTACCGAGGTGGATACAAGATTGAAGGCGATGTGCGGGAAACACAACTAGGTTACCAAGCTACACTAAAAAGACGCTCTGCCAGTACCATATATGGGCAAGACATAGATGAGGTCACACTTGATGTAGAGTTCCAGACAAATAACCGAGTCAGGTTTAAGGTAATGAATAATGGTTTTCATTAATCGCAGTACTAAAGCGAGAGCTTGCTACATTAAAATAGTAGGGCATTCTCTGTATTGACAATATTCAGTTTATACAATCTGGGATGTCTGCCTTGAAGAAATGTCCCACTATTGGACCAAACTGCTCTTAAATTGGCGGAAATGTAGCTGTGTGTGTTATCTTGGTGCTAACCAAAACATTGGACTCAAATGTCATTTTCCTTGGGCCGCCCTTTTAGATCGTATGGCTCATGGATAGTGAGGTAAAATGAGATGTTCTCCTCAGAAATCAATGGGTCAGTTTGTTTCCGCAGCTCTATGACTCCAAAACGCAGAGATATGAAGTACCAGTACCTATGCCAAAGGCGATGTCAAAAGCTTCAGATCCGACGTACACAGTGGAGTTCAAAAACGATCCTTTCTCTTTGAAAATACTACGAAAAGACACCGATGCTGTACTGTAAGTAGAGATTTCAATACAATTTAAGACAATTTGTAGCGTAGATCGAGTGTGAGTGGTGTGAGATAGTGACAGTTGTTAATGAATAGCGCAGTTGGACATCTTGAGTGTAAACGATAATCAGGGCCGGGTTGTTCAAAAGCCGCTCAACGCTAACCCAGGATTAAAAGTTAACCCGAGTATTAAGTTTTCTTGTATAAAAATGTTTCTCACTGCTTGCGTTTTGCGAAGCTTGAGATTATTCAAATTCAAAACTGAAGGCCAGACAATTCAATCATAAAACTTCACCGAAAAGTTACAAAACTGAAACCAAAATTCTCGCTAAACCCGGGCTAGCTTAATCGGGCTTTAGACGACCCAGTCCAGAGTAAAATGTCTTTTTTAACACTAACAGAATGGTTAATTTTAAGTGATCTTCGAGTTAACAGATCAACTAAACACTCGGGATATAGATCGTGAAAATTAAAGCGAGACAATAATGTTCACCAAACTTCAAAATGGCTCTCTCGGCGTTTAAGTCCTGTCAGGATCAAAGGACATTGACGTTGTAGTCTAAGCACTCACCACGTTTTTAGTTTATGTATTTTAAAGGCAGTCATTTCATTCCATAGTCTATCTTCCAGCCGAAACACATTCATAAAACTACTGACTTTTCAGATGGGACTCCTCTGTTGGTCCGTTCATATTTGAAGACCAGTTCATACAGATCTCGACCCAGCCCCCCTCGTCATTTGTGTATGGCTTTGGTGAACAGGAGCATCAGACGTTTAAACACAACTTATCAACCTGGGAGGTGCTTGCTATCTTCACTAGAGACCAGTTTCCATTTGTGAGTAGCTCTCTAGATTTAAGTTACACTGATGTATCTATGAATGAGATCAAGACTTCGTGAACTTTGTTACTGAACTTTGTTTCTAAATGCCTGCAGAATGGAGGAAATTTGTATGGGCATCATCCTTTCTACACTTGTATGGAGAATGACGGCAAATCTCATGGAGTTTTTCTGATGAACAGTAACGCAATGGGTAAGTCTAAGTAGCATAATCACGCTCTTCTGAATTTTTATGCGGATTTCATAGTCACTGTAAAGTTTCAAAGTAAGGACCCTCCGAAAGTGCTCTAGTGATGAAATTTCATGAACACTCCCCGCCGAAAGTAACGATAATAAGAAAGGTAGTTATCTCAAACGAAATTTTGACTTGTTATGAGAAGAAATGGACATCAGAGAAGGATACAAAAAGCTTAACCAAAATGATCTCCTTTTTTTAAAGAAATATATTATTGTTCTGTTAAGTGTAACATAAATTCTTTTTAACTGGATATACACGTATACCTTTTTTCTCTTTTCATTTTGAGAATATTTCTATTTGTAAACTGAATCGTTCCACGATTGGTGCACATTTAAACTGTCCAAAAGTTGCGGGCTTACGAAAGTAATTGAAAACAGTAGGAAGGCTGCCACATAGATTATAGCTAGTTAGAAACTAAGAATCAAGATTTAGTGAATTGTCTTCTCCAAAATGTGTCAATCCTCATTATCCGGTGGGAAGTGCCAAGCCTAAAAACGATTGTGCCAACTCGGCGCATTCATTTTTTTTTTTTTTTTTTTTTGCCAAAATGTGAGGGAAAGCTAATAGCATTTTACACTGTCAAACAACTCCTCAAAACTAATGACTGACTCAAAGTTGTTTCTGTAAACAGATGTCGCCCTACAACCAATGCCGGCCATTACATATCGAACAATCGGAGGAATTCTTGATTTCTACATTTTCCTTGGTCCTTCCCCTGAGGACGTAGTCAAACAGTATACTGAGGTAATCTTACAATTCTTATTAACGTCGGCGAAGAATTTAGTTACACATGATGACATTTGGATCCAGCGCAATTTTGGAATGATTTCCGCCGAAAGCTGATGAATATATGATTACCCTAATTTTACGTATTTTTTAAAAAGATCTTATTGAAGCAGAACGAAACAAAAAATGCTCAACATGACAATAGTATTTTAAACGAAATCACTTTCCCACATTGTTACACGTAGTTAGTTGCGCAATTTCAACTTTTACAGCGTAGCAAGTTGAGCAAATTGCGTTGGAATAATATTTGACTATATATCAGTTTTACGAAAGCCGTCATAACATTGCTACTCAATCTGATGTATAGTTCTTGGACAAGCTTCGTTCTTCATAATTTTTCAGGCTATCGGTCGCACATTTTTGCCTCCATACTGGTCGTTAGGATTCCAGCTGTCTCGTTGGGGTTACAACAAGATTGAGACTGTGAAAGGCCTGGTAGAGAACATGCGTAAAAATGATCTTCCACAGGTGTGTTGCTGCCCTCTCTGTTACGTTTCCATAGAAACATGGGTCTTCGCCGGGTAGAGAAATGTTTTCCCGACTCCACGGATGTGAGACAATTTCTTCGCGGATATACGAGGAAAATTGAATTTTATTGTTTAGCTGGGATTTGATCCGATTACTGTATAAAAGGACGAATTTTCCCAAAAAAGTTAAACTTGATACCCTTTGTAGAAAGTTTACAGAGGATATACTCTATGATTCTTTGATGTTTGTTACCGTGTTTATTACGGACTTGATAATCTACCGAACCCCTGGATTTGCCAATTTGATAAGTTCGCGAAGCCATCCCCCTCCCTTCTTTTCAAAATGAATTTCTGACGTACAATGTTTTCTTTTCTGTTGACATTTTATCAATTAGGATGTGCAGTTTGGCGACATTGACTACATGATCCGACAGAAAGACTTTACTTATGATCCTGTCAACTTCAAAGGTTTGCCTGAATTTGTTCGCTCCATCAAGAAGGACGGTTTGCGTTACATCATTATACTGGTTAGTATTCGTATGATAGGAGTCCTTTTTGTCCAGATTCAATATAGGTAAGGAAATGGTCATCTTATTGCCATCCTAGCTAGATAAGAAGATAAAGCTCATTTAGCTAACTAAATAAATTCCTTACAAAGGTTTTAGTGCACCAGGACCAAACAAGGTCCATACATGTAAATCGAAAACCTTTTACTCTCACCTGAAATTCATATATTTTATATGATTGTCACTCACTCGACAGGTATTATGTAAAACAGCTATTATAAGTATTCAGCTCATAGCTATACAGTGGTTGTTTAACACTCACTTAACAACAATCATTAGGACCCTGCTATTGGAGCCAACGACACTGGTTATCGTCCTTACGACTGGGGAAACGAACTTAACGTGTTCATCAAAGATGGCGACTCTAGAAAGAATGAGAACCTTTTTGGAAAGGTACTTGAATGTTTATGTTTGTGCCGTGAATGTGAGAGGAGGGAGGAGGCAGGAGGCAGGAGGCAGGAGGGAGGTGGGAGGGGAAAAGTCAAACTACACTATCCTTATCTAATTTTCAATCATGTAACTAGTGTGACCGGTTTTTTACAGGTTTGGCCGACATTTGAAAACGTCACAGTTAACAGCAGCTTAGATTGGGACGAGCAAACAAGGGTTGGTAATTTTGATGTATTTGAATATAATGATCCCTGTTTTTTCCGTTAGTCCGTTGTTTTAAGAGACTTGGTTAAATATAACAATTAGAATAAAGCGGTCTGTAATTGGACGAAATCCAAACATTATTTTTTAAACGGAATTAAAGGAAAGATGTCCGGCTGACAAAAAAAGAATGAAAAACGTGTCTGATCAGGAAAACACTTGCCATAAAATACCCTAGAGATCTATTCCTGGTATTTGGTTTTACTTGAAGACGGCACTGCAAAGAACAGCAAATGGAAAAAAAAAAATTCCTACTCGCCATTACTCGAGCTTCTCCATCGTGAAACCGAACCCTAAAAGAGAATATAAAATAATAATAATAATAAACAGGATAAAAAACGACGATTAAATTGTCAAAAACGACAAACAGTTGGATCGAATTACAAAAGCACAGGGGAATAAAAAATACTCTTGGAAAGAAAAGAGATAAAAAGGAGAATCTCAGCTTACCTTCAAGTCTAGTTTACCAGCGACAATGTTTCGTTTGTTTAGCTGTACCGTCAGTATGCCACATTTCCAGACTATTTCCACCCAAACATCAGTAAATACTGGGGACAACTCATCAGGGACTTTCACAACATCATTGAATTCGACGGATTGTGGATCGTAAGTTCGCATGGTTAACTATTTTTTTCTAAACTGGTTAAACTTCATTCTAACTCCTCGCGCCCAGGCAAGGAACATTGAGTAACGACTTTTGAAGGTGAAAACTGAGAAAGTTATCTAGAAACACCGTTCTTTGCAGTAGCTTTTGTAGTTCTTTTTGAAGCTTGTTTATTTCCTAGTTTTTATAATTTTTAGCTTCTTTTAGATTGACATGCATTTTCATAAGTTATTTTCAATCGCCAAAAAGAGAAACAGTAATTGATACTTCGAGAAACTACCCCACAATTTGTGCTTGTGATATATCTGATCTAGTCATCGCACTAAGTACATCCGGTTGTTTAATTAAGGAATTTGAACTTTTCGTTTTTGCCCGCCAAAAAATGCCATAGAAGAAAAAAAGTCCTACCCACTCCCCGCTCTAGATCTACTCATGCAGTAGCGCTGTAGTAAAGTGATAGCACCCCTTATGGTATCCAATTTCTTTAGGATATGAACGAGCCTGCCAACTTTGTTCCTGGGAGTGTGAGTGGATGCAGCAAAAACACGTGGGACTATCCTCCTTATAAACCAAGTGAGTAAATTTTTATGCCCTCTTTATCACCATAAAATGAGAATTTACAGTCCAGTGCTAGTTCCTTGTTGCCTACGCTGCAATGGTAACAGTTGCCTTGTACAGTGGAAGAAACTTCATATGCCCGGGTCCAGATAACAAAGAGGAACAATTTTGTTATACTTATTGATATTTTCTAATCTCAAAAGTTTAAAAATGTACGAAGCACTTTCTAAGGACTTTCTTCAAGTAAATGTATGAAATATCACACCTTTGAACTGCGGGAGAAAAACTTTGCTGTCAAATCAGTAACAAATACTACTGGTGTTTGTTTTCTCTTGTAGGGATTGTCGGGAATATCTTGGCGGATAAGACTGTGTGTATGAATGCAAAACAAACCAACAGTCTACATTACAACGTTCACAGCTTGTACGGCTGGAGTCAGACATTGGTCACCCTGGAGTAAGTATAAGATAACATGGATAATGAATTGCGGTGAAATCTCGGGCTACGGTCGGTGGCCATAGTACCGACAGAGCAACATTTAATCAGGCAGAAGTCCATTCTTGGAAAGTTGGAAGCTGGTAATCAGGACAAGAGAATCACGACTAAACAATTGGAAATGGAACGAATGAAAGTCTCCAAGGCAGGCAGAAATTATTTCCTACAGACTTCCGTGGAGTTTCACCCGCGCATTGCGGATGGAACTTAATCAAGTCCGTATCACCATCCCTTATTGTTGCCTGACCCATTATAGATCCCATCAGTTTTTCTTTCACCTCATTGTAAAAGTTGTATGTAACCAACATTTGTGAGATTGCTATTTTCTAAATTGTTTCAGCGCTGCCAGGCAAAGCACAGGAAAAAGGAGTCTGGTGATTTCAAGATCGACATTCGCCAGTAGCGGAAAATATGCCGGTCATTGGCTGGGAGACAACAAGGCATCATGGGACCAACTCCATCCGTCAATAGTTGGTAAATGCATGTTCTGCTTTGTCCAATGTCAGTATATTTTTATCTTTCATGAACGTATTTATACTGTAATTGCTGGTGTTGCTCCTATCTTTTTTTGTGTTATTTTCAGGTATGCTCGAGTTCAACCTCTTTGGCATTCCCTACGTGAGTGTGTACAGTATTTGAGTTTTTGCGTCTGTTAATGTTTCCTTCCAATCAAGCGGCGATACGTAACACTACAATTCTTGTCTTTGTAAAGAATCACGCTATGTAATGCAAACCTTTCTCGAGTTAACAGAACATTTTCAACATTTTCTAGCCTTGTCTCTGTCCATGTGATTTTTTGGAAGACATTTAAAGTCGCGTCGATCTTTCTTTTAATTATTAAAATTTGCTGTCAAAATTGAGCTCTCCTTGCGATTTTTTTCTCCAGTCAATTGGGGCTTCTGTATAATTTGGCTTCTAAGTATTTCAAAGTATTCCTAAAGTCAATCTCGTGTCGATTTACTCAAGTTTGATGATCCAATTGTTTTTTAGATCGGAGCAGATGTTTGCGGTTTCTTCGATCATCCGACACCAGAGATGTGCCTACGGTGGACTCAACTTGGCGCCTTTTATCCTTTCTTCAGAAACCACAATGGATTTGGAAACAAGGTAATTACCTCCGTCGTAAGATTTATACTTTTGTAGAGTTCTTGTCATTACTCTGTTCTCGAGTTACTTAAACACCTGAACAATTATGTGGATGATTCCCTGGGGTCCTAGGGGTATTAGGGGATGGGAGCAACCCAGAAATTAATTGTTGTGCGGCGTCAGGAAGGGGAAAAAATCTTTTTGAATGACGTCCCTGCCAAGGTGCCCGCCCCCGTTAACAAATTGCCGGAGCTTAAGCATTACGTAGGGATTTCTGTGCATACGAAGGCTCTCAGTATCGTCCCTGTTTTTTGTTTTCTTTCTTTCTTTCTTTCTTTCTTTCTTTCTTTCTTTCTTTCTTTCTTTCTTTCTTTCTTTTTTTGTCATTTCTTTGTTAATTCATTTATTCAATGTCTATCAACATTCCTTTTTTTCTCTTTCCTTTTATCAGGCGCAAGACCCTGCAGCATTTGGTGAAGAATTCGCAAACAAGGCGCGTAAAGTACTTCAGACACGTTACAGGTTGCTGCCATTCCTGTACACGTTGTTTTATGAGGCACAAATGGATGGCTCCACAGTGGTTCGACCTGTAATGCATGAGTAAGTGAACTTATGCTTGAATCACTGCTCACACGGTCGGTCAGTAATCAAGATATAACCGTGGAATATTTTTATCGACAGGTTTGCAGATGACAAAGACACTTGGGAAATTGACAGGCAGTTTCTCTGGGGACCATCCTTGCTTATTTCACCAGTTTTAGAGGAGGTAATATCCGAACGTTTTTTTTTTTTGTTTNGGGGGGGAGTCATTGCAATAAGTTAACGTCCAGGAGAGGAACTGAATGCAAAAAACGTACTTAACAATTTCTAGTTATGCGATATAAAGAAAAACGCAGATCTGTTTCTTTAAGTAGTGTGCGAGATTAGGGTAAAATCGAGGAAATGTGAATTAAAACCGTGCTAGTATTTTTTAGGTATTTAATCTGTTTGTTATACTGAATATGTGGTCCGATTTGCCCTGGAGAGAGAGAGAGTGCTCAACAGTAATGGAGCTTCGTCTACAGTGTTGTGAAAGCACGTGTGACTCCAAGGGAACTCTATATAAACCAACTAATTAACGTTGTCATCTAGATCCTGACGAGTGGGAAACACTCCCACGAAACAGTTCTGTCGATCTGTTTGTTATATATGCAGCTAAGATAAGGTAAGGTAAAGTATTTATTTATACACGATAGCAAGCGTTTAATAAGAGCTGCTTCCCGCTGAATGTTTCGTATGCACTTTGAAGCTAGGAGTAATACAGTTTTCTGTAGGATCAATTTTTTGAAAATAAAAAAAATAAATGCACCAGCGCATTCTAGCTCTTGACCATTATTTACTCCTTGATATCTTGTAGAGCAAGACGACTGTTGATGCATACTTCCCAGACGATCGTTGGTATGACTATTACACGGTAGGTTCTTTTCGGCTAACCTGTCATTGTAACTCTCCTCGTTTCAGTTGACGAAACAATTCAAGACCCGTTCCTGTGCAATCGAAATGTGGCGCGAGCACAAGCCAATGTTCACCAAAAGTTAGAAAAAAATAAATGAAAAATAATTCTCTGCACGAAATTTTAACCTCGTTTGAGATTGTTTGTTACACATTTTGGAAAATACCTCAATTTTGATTGGCTTAATTCAAACAAACGGGTAATTCACAAAAGCGTTAAATTATTTACGTCATATATACAATCGATAGAGTTTGTGATTGCATTGCGTCATTACGCACTATGATTGCTAATTAAGAGCGGTCTGTTTTCAGGGCAAAGAGATGAGCACTCGTAAGGGTCACGTGCCTCTAGACGCTCCTCTTGATCACATTCCTCTTCATGTTCGAGGCGGTTACATTATCCCAACCCAGGAACCTGCCAACAACACTGCTTTCAGGTACCTGATCTGTGTTTATACGTGGGTATACAAATAAAAATACATGATGTAAACATATTAAAGGAGCTCAGTCACGGTATTTTGACTTATTTTGGCCACGTACAAAATTACCTTTAAATGGTAGGAAACCTGAAAATAACAGTTTAATAAGATAGAAAAACACCAAAGAGAAAATGATAAACCATAAAGGAACAAGGATGGCTAAAGATGGAGAGGATTGACACGGATTACAAACGACGAATTTGAAAAATTGAGGCTAAACTTTTCCATATGCGCAAACCGTGACGCAGCTCCTTTAAAGGAGCCACGTCAAGGTTTGCGCATCTCGAAAACCTTAGCCTAAATTTTTCAAGTTTGTCGTTTGTAATCCGTGTCAATCTTCTTCCATCCACAACCATCCTTGTTCCCTTATGGATTATTATTTCCTCTTTGGTGTTCTTCTGTCTTAGTAAACCACTATTTCTAGGTTTCCTTCAATTTGAAGGTAATTTTGCACATGGCCAAAATACGTCAAAATACCGTGACTGAGCTCCTTTAAAGAAAACATCTTCACGTTTTTCTCTAACGGCCGAATCATCGAGGATCACAACAAAGCTTAACAGGAGCTCCCTGCAGTGTGTGCAAAAGACATTGCTTTTTTTAATTCTGACTAAAATATGACACAAGCAACTTTATTTAATCAATGTTCTTATCATATGATGGTAACACTGTACTGTTGTTGCAGTCGTAAGAAGCCCATGGGTCTGATTGTAGCGCTGGGAGATGAAGGAGAAGCTTCAGGACAGCTTTTCTGGGATGACGGAGAATCTATTGGTCAGTTATTGTCATATTCGTCTTGTTATTGTGAATTGTTTCTCAACCAACAATTTTGTACAAGTAAGAAAAATGTGAACACGCTGCCGCGGCGAGTCTTCCCTCACCACAAGCATGTTATAATAAACCATTAAAAAAACGATGTATAGCAGAACAACAGCTTAACAGTGTTAGCAACAACAGCAATAAATTAAATTTGGAAACTAAGTTCAGCGAACGCAAAAATAACACAAGCGCAGTTTCTCTCAGTCCTCACTGGACTCAATCCTGTACTCTGGGCAGAGAGCATCAAAATAAAATGACAAATTACATCAATTTTAAACCGAGTTTTATCTTTGGCTAACTCTGCTACTTTTCTTCTGTCAGACACCGTCAAAAATAGCAAATACCTGCTGATAAAGTTCTCTGCTGATGAGGTAAGTAATCCAAGTTCTTGCAGTAATTTAATTTATGGAAAGATCTCACCATTACGAGTAACAGATCAACGCGAACTTAAGGTTACGATTCTCTCGCGACCTCTTTTTTAGCTTCTGGGATTGATGATGACAGGTCAACAACAGTCAACCTTATAGTAAACAATGCTGCATTTGTCAGGGGCTTACGTTAGTGTCCTATTGCCATCAGATGCGTGTTTTTATGCAAAAAGGAATAAAGAATTATGTATAGAAATATAGAAAACTGGTTGTAAAGTTTGTCTGTCAACTCTTCTTTTACTCGTACCAACTTCGTCGTTTTTAATTCAGTGCTTTTAATATTCATCTATTTAATACTCTTTTTCTTTTTGGGGAGGGGTGGGATTTTGGGCAATGTTGGATGCAAAAAAAGGGTAAACTGATAAAAAGAACATTTCCTTTACTCTGTTAGTCTGGGCTGACATTTTCCACGGAAAAGAATGGTTACTCAGCTTCAGACCTTCCTAAATGGGGCTCGGTAACGGTGTACGGGCTTGATAAAGACGATATCAAAACACCGCTGAGTGTCGATGGACAAGATATGCAAGATAAAGCTACCTATGACGGGGACACCAAGGTGACTGAGAACTAACCTTGTTAAGTAGCTAGAGTTTATTTGAATCTAAGACAGGCTCAAATTGGCTACTTGGAAATGACTAAATTAGCACCATGGTTGTACATGGTAAAGTTCAAAAGTGTCGCCGACGCAGAAACTGACATCTTTGGCCTATTGTCATTTATAAAACATTTAAGATAGTATGCGAGCTCTCATTGGTCGATAGGTGGGAGGTGGGACTTGGGGATTGGGAGAATTCTCGGAAGTTGTGCAAACTCTCGACTGCGTTTTCGTGTTTGCGTGACTGTCACGAATTCTTCCAGCTCCCTCGTGTTTAGATGAGGCTATGTAAACACGGGAAAGTCCTCTATGGCTTAAGTTTAAACTCCTTGTCGCTATATAACAGTACACTTGCTAAGTGATGCATCGACGAATTAATTACTTTTATATTCCCTGGAATCTCGATGTTTCGTGTCAGAAAACGTCGAGAAATAGTTATTTAACTAGTTTTGCGAGATAAGTGTATAAATAATGCTCATCTTAAATTTTATACTTTATACAAGATGAAGGATAAAATATGTCCGGTCTAAACGGCTTCCATTTCGCCATTGCATGACGATTGCAGCTGCTATATTGTCTTTATTTTTGCCATCTTTGATTGCCTTTAGGTTTTGAACATCACTGGTCTGTCACTCAGCATCAACGAAGAACACCAGATTAAATGGGGCGTGATTCCCCCAAAGGGGACTGGACACCAAGTATATCCGTTTGCCACCGATGCCTGTCTTCTACTGCTGGCTATTATTGTGGCATTCATAGAGCACTGAACTTTCAAGTTGCTTTACGTACGTCTCACTGTGTGTTTTTGTTTGTTTGTTTTGTTTGTTTTGTTTTATTTTACTGGAGAAGTAGATTTTATGAATCTCTGATCACGACGGTACACGCCTAGTTAGTTTAATACCGAAACTCTCCGGAGATATCATAGAAATTAATTAATCCGTGAAGTGAAACGGACTCATCCATCCAAAGCATACCTGCAATTAGCATGATTGTCGCCTGTACTTTTGATTGACAGCAGATTAAACCTTTTAAGAGTCTTTCAAGTAAGAGCTTATATAGAGCAATACTTTCATACGCTGCTTTTTATTATACTGTTCATGGTGGTTCTACTTCTGACGTCTCTGGCTGATCTGTTGAGGTACTATTAAGTAATACTGCTGTTTTATGTTTTACAAAGTGAGCTCCCACTGGAAGCCTTAGTGCGTGATTATTCAAATAAAGGTTACAGAGCAGCAATATTAATCCGTGCCATCCTGAATAATGAAGTGAGAATACACCACTTATAACAGCATCTCCCATATTCCTCCTAAACCGATCTACATGCAACCACAAACGTCTGTCAAAACTCGTCTGTCTCTTCTTTCCTCTATCTTAAAGTGCCACTAANCCCCCCCCCCAATTTCTTTTTCCTTTAATAAAATCTACTAGTTTGCCTGATTACTTCAGCGAAAAAATTATCGCGATTGATAAAATCCCTGCTTTTCTACGGGCGTTTAAACATGTAATTTCTATGTTCACGACGGCGCAAAGTGGGATCTGGGTCGGGCTACTAGTGACGTCACTTCGGAAACCGGGCTAAAACACTCAAGAGACTTTTGACTGAGCTTCGAGGGCAGTCAAAACATTTTTGGGTTATTGTGATTCATATTTTATCAAAACTGGACAAGATGTTTAGTGAAAGAACTGCATCATCTAACATTACAATTCGGAGTCCAGCTACGATTTGGACGGCTGCGACGTATATATTTTTTTCCATTTCGAAGTGCGGGTCGCCAGTAGCACTCTATTAGTAGCTCCACAAGAATAAGTGCCATTTTGAAATATCTGCCATAAATGCGTGGAAACAAACAAGGTGTGTGCAATTTCATTTTATGGGAACGTTGTAATATATCAAACACGAGAGACAATGTTTCATCATCATATCCAAACACCGAGAAGGGAGTCGGAAATACAACGCGCAGCGGAGTATTTTTGACGAAATTCGAGGTGTTTGGATGGCCGATGAGACACTGTCTCGAGTGTTCGATATATCTTCTCTATCGAAACTGAAACTAAGGAGTAAATGTAGAGGTAAAATCATCAGAATCTATGCTAATTAATACCGGGTATCCAAACCTCCTTCACGGTTGTGATTTTCTTTGTTCTAATTTGATGAATTATTAATAAGTTTGAGAAGTTACGTTCTTGCACTATGAGGATGACGAAGTTGAATGGCAGCGGACACTTCGCAAAGCAATTTCTGAACCGAGTCGAACGCTGGAACGTCGTGCCTTAGTCTACCTCGTTCCTATAGTACATGAAAAAATATATATTGACCAAAAATTGCTCAAATTACTTGGAAAAACAACGTAACAATGGAAATAAACAACAGATTTAGTTTCGTGAACTTTATTTTTATACAGACTTTAACATTTTCAAAATGTCATAAATATACAAATACTATGCTTGGGTAACCTTGCTATGCTGCAGTAAAAGGAAGCAGTTACAAACGAAGCACTTGGTTCCCAGTTCCCTTTGGGTAAAACCACGAGCCAGACATTTTTTAATGACTTCAAACTTACGTGCGCTACTTATAAATTGAATACGCACAATACACATACTGAAAAAAGTAACCGATGCACATGTACAAGCTTAATTAAGTGATTTCATTTCCCTTGTTTTTTTTCCAAGTTAATATAAGGCTGAAAATATCTAAAAAATACATTACACTATTTATCATTTATGTAGTAAGCTTTAATTCAATGTAAATTTTAATTTTATATATATTGATTTCAATTTCAATTTCAGTCCAACTTTACATACAAAACACTAGACATAATCGGGGCTATAGCTCCTGATGAGGCATGGTCCAATCAATCTCGTGTTTCTCGTTGATGTTGAGTGACAGACCAGTGATTTTCAAGACCTACGAAAAAAAGATATAAGATGACGGAAAGACTACAACCCGGCTACCAGTTTGCAATATTTACCTTACTGGTACACTGAGTGAAGAAATAAGAACAAAGAAGAGGATAATGAAGGATTCGTTGATAAAGGAGTGCATGCCTCATTTCAGGCATTTTTAGAAACAGTTGACCTTGTCTTGTACAATTTCTCATAAAGTGCGACTACAATTCAAACCTTTTAAAACGAATATTTTTGAAATGGTACTAATTTATGTATTATTTATGTGTAAGATAATGACTGGTCCCTAGAGGAGGGGCGCGGGGCATACATTCGAGGCAACACAAAACCAACTAGTTTCTCGAAGGACTAGACATCGCGCGTTTTGCTATCAGAAACGATAAATAAGAGTCAGTGTTCATGCAAAACAAAGTACACTGTACACGTGAGTTGTAATCACTGAATGAAATGCAAAGTATTCGTTTCAGTTTGGTCATTCTCTCTTAACCTCGAAACAACAAATCTGAGCCAACCTTAGATACACTGAAACTCCAGCTACATAACAAAATTAGCTACCAGATACCTTGATGCTTTTGTCATAGGTAGCTTTATCTTGCATATCTTGTCCATCGACACTCAGTGATTTGATATCGTCTGCATCAAGTCCGTACACTGTTACCGAGCCCCATTTAGGAAGGTCTGCAGCTGAGTAACCATTCTTCTCGACGGTACATTTCAGCCCAGACTAAGAGAAAACAAAGCAACGTTAAAAAAGATTTTGGCACATCGATAGCGCATCGAGTATGTATTTTCTTTCCTTTTTTGGCATTTAGCCAAGCTAGCCGCCTCTTGGAGGGGGCGGCTGTACACAGGCTACAGTAAATTAAATGTTATCGACAGTGATTACAACTCGTTGTCACCACTTTCAAAATTGGCAGCATTTCCATCTTTATAATACACTGCGCCAAGTGGCAAAGTCACGCCATTTTTTCAGAATAATTAAGTTTAGCTATCAATGTCTAGTGTGTATCCGAACCTCTGTTTCTTATTTACGTTTCAAAAAAAGAGCCCCAGTTTTTATGAGCGAATTGCCAACAAGATGCAGTCAAGCTGATAATCGCTCGTAGAAAACGAGGGAGACCTTTCTAATAGTTTCAGTAGACAGAAAAAGGGGAAACCTACAATTTTAGGTATTAAGCCCAACCAAAAAATAATTTTGCGTGTTTTATCAGGGAATAAACAACCATCACAGAACCAATCACATTCGCGGATTTTTCAAAGAACATACTAGTTGGCTTTTTACAATTCTGAAAGTTCTAATAATAATCTTAGATTCTTGCCTACCTTGAAACCTGAAAACTTTATCACCAGGTATTTGTTATTTTTTACGGTGTCTAAAATAAAAAAGGAGTAGTGTTAACCACCCACATTCCGATGGCATCCCGAATAGCATTTCTCTATGAAAATCTTATGAGTTTTTTTCAATAACACGAATATACAAGAGACCATGAGTAAAATATATATATCAGTTAATTACAGACCAATGGATTCTCCGTCATCCCAAAAAAGCTGTCCTGTAGCTTCTCCTTCATCTCCCAGTGCTACAATCAGACCCATGGGCTTCTTACGACTGCAACAACAGCAATTGTATCATCATATGATAAAAATATTTATGAGATATTGAGGTCTGTGTTGTGTTGCAGTCAGTTCAAAAAGCATCGTTTCCACAAACTGGTAACTCCGGCTTGGCGAACGTATCGCCAGGTCGTTATACCATTTTATTTTAACGTTATTGAGTAAACGTATCTTTTGCGAATCAAACGTTTTTCTATACATTGCGCAGTTCTATTTCATATGTATAAATAGATGTACAGTTATAGGTCTAATGTGAGTCAAATTGTTACCTGAAAGCAGTGTTGTTGGCAGGTTCCTGGGTTGGGATAATGTAACCGCCTCGTACATGAAGAGGAATGCGATCAAGGGGGGCGTCTAAAGTCACGTGACCTTTACGAGTGCTCATCGCTTTACCCTAAAAACAGACTGCTGTAAGTTGACAGGTATCGTTCCAAATAAGGCGCTCGCATGCATTACCACTGTTTGCTGATAGAAGATGCAAATGAAGCGCTTTCGAATACACATACAGTTTGAAAATGCACAACAAAATAGAGCACAGAACTATCCCTTATTCTTGCAGCTCTCAAATTAGATTGTAAGAGCTTTGCAACCACGATACTGGAACACAATGCAACTGAGATGTTACGTGCGTACCGTGTAATAATCAAACCAACGATCATCTGGGAAGTATGCATCAACAGTCGTCTTGTTCTACAAGATATCAAGGAGTAAATAACGACCAGTGGTCAAAAACATTTGTTTAGCATTTAAAAGCAAAATAAATAGGTCATTTTCGAGTTGCTTTTTGCATCTGTATCAAAACCAGTCTTGGAGGGAAACCCATTCAGCTGAAAGGTGTTTCACTTTTCGAGCAAATCAAACCAATTTTCATTTGAATGGTTTTGTTTTGCAAAAGACTTGTTTTGAAAGAGAGGCAATATACAACTCGGAAATGGCCTGTTTGTACAGATCTTAAGTTTATCCCAGCAATACGGATTTTTGTCAGAACATGTAGCAATAAAGTTTGTTTCTATATTACGACGAGTTAAAGAAAGACTGAGAATTTCAATGAAGCGGAGTCTGGCATGGGAGAAATTCGGAATTCAGTAGTAATTAGCTATGCACTGTGTTTGTTACGTAGCGAAAGCTTTAGTTACTGACTGAATGTTTCGTTTCCCTTAAAAAACAACCAGAGTATTTCTTATCTCTTTATGTTAGGAAGTTAACTCAAATCTCTTTTGGATAACAAATTAATTAAGTTTTTACCTCTTCTAAGACTGGTGAAACAAGCAAGGATGGTCCCCAGAGAAACTGCCTGTCAATTTCCCAAGTGTCTTTGTCATCTGCAAACCTGTCAATAAAGATACTTGTTATTTCATGGTTATATTGTTGTTATTGCCGGACCGACCATGTGAGAAGTAATTCAAGCACAGGTCCACTTACTCATGCATTACAGGTCGTACCACTGTGGAGCCATCCATTTGTGCCTCGTAAAACAACGTGTACAGGAATGGCAGTAACCTGTAACGTGTCTGAAGTACTTTACGCGCCTTATTCGCGAATTCCTCGCCAAATGCTGTAGGGTCTTGTGCCTGATAATAGGGACGAGAAAAAAGAAAAAAGAAATGTTGATAAGTCGAAACAAAAACTGATATAGTACTACCTCATCAGGACCCAGCAGGAGACATTTTCTCCTCAGAACTTTGTTCCTTTTAACAGAGACCTTTCGCAAAAAGAAAAGGATTGCCTGACAAAAAGGGCACATTCATCCACCATGCAAGTATTTTATGGTTAGACTTCCAGTCACCCCCTCCTGGCCACCGCTACTTCCAGTACCAGTGCTTCTCTTCCGTTCCTAGGAAGGCTAAGCAACTCAAGAACAGAGAACTCTACAAGCCAGTATGTCTTACGAGAGGGCTTATTACCTTGTTCCTTTTTTCATTGTGGTTTCTGAAGAAAGGATAAAAGGCGCCAAGTTGAGTCCATCGAAGGCACATCTCGCTTGTCGGATGATTAAAGAAACCACACACATCCGCTCCAACCTTGAAAACGAAATATATATTCCGTCAGGCACGGATTGATCGGCACGGCACTGGAAAACAACAAGACTTAGATACTTAAAAAATATGTATATTTAGAATACCGGATACCTGGAGGGGAAAGACAGAAAGGAAATTCCAAGAATTAAAAAAATGTATTGACGCGACTTTTTTGTGTCTTCAGAAAAAACTACATGCATGGACAGACACGAGGCGTAGGTAACTTGAATACCGGACACCACTGGAAGGAATCAATATTAAGGCACACAAAATTTCAAATACAACAGATACTCACGTAAGGAATACCAAAGAGGTTGAACTCGAGCATACCTAAAAATAACAATGGGAAAAAGATTAGGAGCAAAAAGAGGCAATTACAATATAAAAAACGTTCATTGAAGATAAAATATACTAAAATTGGAAAGAGCAGAAAAATAGTTTACCAATGATTGACGTGTGAAGCTGGTCCCATGATGCCTTGTTGTCTCCTAGCCAATGCCCGCCATATTTTCCACTGCTGGGGAAAGTCGATCTTGAAATCACCAGACTTCTTTTTCCTGTGCTTTGCCTGGCAGCGCTGAAACATTTAAGTAAAGAACAGTAATGACTTAGTTCATGCAGAAGCGACAGGTTAAGGTGGAAACTCCAAATACCAAGACAAGAATATGGTGGGGGTAGTGTTTGAACGTGACGAGGAATAAAATAGTCTGAAAGGTGTTGACTACTCCAGTTGGCAAAAGTTTTATTCCTTGAACACACACACACTAATAATGAATAATGCCCAGCTTTACTCACGAGTTTTTAAACTTATGTAAATCTTGGAAAGTTCCAGAAGCGTCTCTGCATATATTTGGGTTTGCGGGACAATGTAGACTAATTATCAAACACTCTACATTACGACTGTACCTGAAAGGTGACAGAATGAATGGACTTACATAAACTGATTATGTAACAAAGGGAAGGGTTAAGAATTTCGGCTACCTCGGAAACTTTTGTTCGCATCAATTCGCTCATTACCTGGCTGACGCAATGCCCCTATACTCCAATTAACATTTTACTCAACAAGTTATTATCACACTTACTCCAGAGTGATCAATGTCTGACTCCAGCCGTACAAGCTGTGAACGTTATAATGTAGATGGTTGGTTTGTTTTGCATTCATACATACAGTCCTATCCGCCATGACGTTCCCGAAAGTCCCTGCAAGAGAAAAACACACTTCAACGTTGGTCCATACGCACAGCATACTGGAATAACTACATTCAGACAATTTGTAAAACACGATTCTGAAATGCCTCGTATATGCTTGAGAGAATACTATTCTCGGAAGTAAGAAACAGATTGAAAAATAACAATAAAAATTTTTTAAAAAATTCCCTGGTATCTGTAGCCTCATATTCCATTTCGCCCATGTCTTGAAGAATGCAGCCAATCGGGACCCTAAATTCTTAGGTATCCTACGGATGATATTCGCCAGTTTTCGCGCTGAAATTCTGGCAGGCAGCGAGCGCCAGCTGTTTTTCACTCGATCAGCTCAGTTCAAACATGAATGATAACTTATCATTCGAGAGAATAATTTGGCTGTACGAGGAAACAGCTTTCCTTACTTGGTTTATAAGGTGGATAGTCCCACTTGTTTTTGCTGCATCCACTCACACTACCATGAACAATGTTGGCGGGTTCATTCTTGTCCTACAAGGAGCAACATCAGTTTACATTTACTAAAGCACTATTGCGATGAGTCGACTTTTAAAACAAGCAATCAAAACAACTTTAGACCGCTTGTAAACTTATAATTAAGGAGGTTAAAACAGCCGTTTGTGACAGACGAACGTGAACCGGAGGTCGAATTTTCTCTTCTTTGGAACGTATTTGAATGCTTATTTTAATACGTACATGTATTCTAATACCTTTTTAACACTAAAACGAGACCTTTCCAACTCATTGATGAGGGGGGTGGGGGCGAAGGGCGAAGGGAACGCGCCACCCTTTAACAATTTTACTAACACACTTACAATCCACAATCCGTCGAACTCAATGATGTTGTGAAAGTCCTTGATGAGTTCTCCCCAGTATTTACTGATGTTTGGGTGGAAATAGTCTGGAAATATGACGTGCTGACGAGACAGCTAAAAGCAAACATAACACATGGTAAGGCTGAATGAACCGACCTTTATCTCTTATTTATTCGCCTGAGTTTTTGATACTAACTTGTTCCTTGGTAATTCCATCCCAATTTTTGTTGTTTCAGACACTTACATCACCGTTTTTCCTACTAATTTATAACCTCTTCCAAAGGCACGGTTCATCACCAAACAACTGTAAGTGAAAGAAAATAGGTCTGCAGTTTAAGCCGATGAATCACCCAAAAGTCTGGAAGGTTCCCAAATAATCCCCAATCACTTCATTTTGCGCTGCTCCTAATCTAATCAACCATCTGCAATAGGTTACCTTGATAAGGCGCTTTTTCTGCAATGCTTCTGTTTTCTCGTTCGCCCACTATTTCTTTAACTTAAAATCCCAAACAAGTTTCCGGCCGTCTATTTTGGTTATAAATTTAACCAGAAAGAGCTATTTCGTCATTATATTTAGTCCAAGATTTCAAAAATGCACTTTACTGATTACTTCTTGAATCGTAAACTTGACATTCTTTACAATGTACATCAAAGTTACCAACCTTTGGCAAGCTACCGTTCACTGTGACGTTTTCAAATTTCGCCGACACCTGCAATGAACCAGTTAAACTTATTATTGTTATTTTTTTTTGATCCTGTAAATAGATATTGTTATTAGTTCCATACTCATTTTTATTCTTATATGTAGTTAGGTGTCTCCTGTAACCAAAGGTTCCTCTATCAGCTAGATACTTTTAGATACGCTAATAAAGTTCATTCATTTATTATAAATAGATGAACAAAAAACTATTATTAAACGATATTATAGCCCCTTCTGTTGCCACCGCCTTCCCCAACAAACGCACAGATATTCTCAGTGTAGCATGTACCTTCGCATATCCTTTCCCAAGTAGGTTTTCTCCAGAGTCGCCATCTTTGATGAACACATTAAGTTCGTTTCCCCAGTCGTAAGGACGATAACCAGTGTCGTTGACTCCAATAGCAGGGTCCTAAGTTCAGCAGGTCGACATGTAAATGTCATGCAGTTGGGTAAATACAACCGAAAACATACATCTCTGTTGGTTTTGTGCGAGGTGAGGCTGGTTTTCACTAACGATTTAATCGTCACAAACACAAGCTAAAACAGTTTTCCTTACCTACAATTCTAGACAAAAGTAACGGCGCGATTTCCTTTAGTACTACTTTCTAGCCCCCTTACCCCATTCCAGTGTTGACTTCCCACCAGAATAATTCACTAGGAAGATGTCCATGAGAAATGCGACATTGAAAAAGAGGAGAAGAAAGGTAGGCTTATCTTATGTTCTACACACGTCAAAGTGATCTTTACAAAAACGTTTTAAAACCAAGTTAGGTTATGTAGAATGCTTGCCGTTATAGTGAGCGTTCCTACTACTTTTGTCCAGGATTGAAGATAAATTCATCTCTTGGGGATAGAAAATTGTTAAGAACACTAACCAGTATAATGATGTAATGCAAACCATCCTTCTTGATGGACCGAACAAATTCAGGCAAACCTTTGAAGTTGACAGGATCATAAGTAAAGTCTTTCTGTCGGATCATGTAGTCAACGTCGCTAAACAGTACATCCTAAATGATAAAATATCAACAGAAAAGAACTATTACAGGTTAGAAGTGGAATTCAAAAGATGTTTGTGGAAAAACATCCCCAACTACCGAGAGCCTGTAACAGGCTACATCACACCTCGAAGAGCAGCCATATCTTGAGACTCAAGAAACTTGAAGAAACTCTTATACAACTGTCAAATGTATCACTTAATTCATTTTATTGGCTTGAGACTTAACTAGTATTACAGAGTACATGTATAAGCTAACTAAATAGACATCGTTAATTTCCAAACATGTCACTTGTTATGGAAACAGATAGAACAGTAGCACACCTGTGGAAGGTCGTGTTTGCACATGCTCTCTACCGCGCCCTTCAACATCTCAGTCTTATTGTAACCCCAACGAGATAGCTGGAATCCTAACGACCAATATGGTGGCAAAAATGTTCGTCCAATAGCCTGAAAAATTATGAAGAACGAAAAAATGTCCAGGAGCTACTGAATAATCCGTAATTTGCATAGACAATTCTTAGAAAGCAAACCATGGCAAAACTGAGCAGATTGGAAGCCCAAAACTTTGGAGACAACCTTACCTGACTCAGCGGCAATGTCTATCATAATTTAGAAAATAGCCCAAAGAAAATATGCGCACTGATTGGTTTAAAATCTTGTTTCTATTAAACAATTAGATTATGAGCTCAAGATTTCAATCGCGTGATAGTTGAGGAGGGCGCTGCCCGAGTCAACCATCATGCAAAGAAATCGAGAGCGAATAATCTAATTGTTTTAGTATAAATCTAGCTACTAGTCGGTCAAAACTTTATCTAAAACCTCTTCACAGACATTTCGAAAACGACAAGAAGTGGCCGTCATTTTGTTAACAAGGGTACACTGCTACACTACGCACTGTCTATCACAGAATAGATAGTGAGTAGCGTAGCCAATCAGAGAACGGCATTCATGATAGAATGCTAATAGAGTTATACTAAAACTTAATAGAAACACAGAACTAGCACAAGCTGTTGACATAGTGATGGTGCAAGCAAAGAGAATTTCCATTTTGATTATCAAAGCAAACAAGTTGTTTTTCTTTTTTCTGTCGCAGTAACTTCTAAAAGAAATAGAAAACATGTTCTCCATGTTTCTATCGAGTTATAGAAACACTCGTGAAAGTTTGGGAGAACTCAAAAAAGCTGTGGAAACACTCGCCTAACAGCTCCCGTTCCCCAGCAGTTCTATGTTCTCCCAAACTTTCACTCATGTTTCTAATTACTCGATAGAAACACGGTACATGTTTTCTATTTCTTAAATAATAACAAATACACAAACAATAATGAAATGTCAGTGTATAAATCAGTTTTTTGCTTTAAGAAATTTGAGAATACCTCAGTATACTGTTTGATGACATCCTCAGGGGAAGGACCGAGGAAAATGTAGAAATCAAGAATTCCTCCAATTGTTCGATATGTAATAGCTGGCTTTGGTTGCAAGGCAACATCTATTAAAAATCAGCAGCAACAACTGTATGTTATATACATGTAGCTTTCCCTCGAATTTAACAATGATGGCTGTACAATGTTGACACTTTATGTACATGTATGCCACTCCTTCCACTAAGTGACCCCTTTCTAATGAGTGCTCTTTTTTAATAAGGACCCCTATTCCAACAAGTTCCCTCTTCCGGTGAACCCCCAATAATTGAAAAGTGACATTCAGGACTTTGAAATTTCCTAGACTTATTAGATGAATGAAGAAATCTGAACATAATCTGAACTACAATTTAAGACCATCAGAGCTCCTATTGTTTGTCCTTGGAGTTCTTGAGTTAAAGTATCTGTTGTTTTTCAGACGCCCAAAATGAATTAGCCACTCAGCAGGTCTAAGACGAGCCCTCTGTCCCATAAGCACCCTCCCTTAAGCAGTCAAAGGTACAAATTAGCACCTAGGGCACTAACTCAAACCATTGTGTCATGTGTCACTAAAAAAATCCAATTTATACAGTGAGGAGAACTTTAGGAAATTTAAGACATTAAAAAGGAAAAGTTTAAAAGTGTCAGTCATTCCAATCACTGTGTGGACTTGCACTTACCCATGGCATTACTGTTCATCAGAAAAACTCCATGAGATTTGCCATCATTCTCTATACAAGTGTAGAAAGGATGATGCCCATACAAATTTCCCCCATTCTGTAGGCATTTAGATGTAGGAACAAAGTTCAGTTGTGTCACTCTATAATTTATTTCAGAAGTCTTTCATCTCACAGATGTATCAGTAAATTATTTTTTGAAGAATTTAAATTTAAAAATTTTGAACCAAAGCTACTCACAAATGGATGCTGACGTCTGGCGAAGATAGGAAGTACCCCCCAGGCAGACAAGTTATGTTTTAATGACTTGTGCTCGTGTTCACCAAACCCATACACGAATGTCGAAGGGGGCTGAGAGGAGATCTGTATGTACTGGTCTTCAAATATGAATGGGCCGACAGAGGTGTCCCAGCTGTTATCAAAGCAGTTGTACTATCACTTGAACAGTTTGTTAAAACAAAGTCATCCATCAACTCTTAAGCCTGCAGATTCAACCATCTCACATCACTATGTTTGACCAAAGTGGCCAAGAGCGATAAGGAGTAGTTATTAATTTGTAGGCTAAGTACTCTTTACTTTTATAATCACATTAACATTAATCTGATCATAACTTAGCATTTGGTAACTCTACTTACATTACAGCATCATTGTCTTTTCGTATTATTTTTAAAGAGAATGGATCCTTTTCAATGGCAACTGTGTACTTCGGATCTGAAGCCTTTGACGTCCTCTTTGGCATAGGTACTGGTACCTCATATCTCTGATTTATGGTGTCATAGAGCTGCAGAAATAAGTTGATGTTTAAGGTACATGTAACATTGCTCAGAAAATTAAAACTCCTAAATAACAGTTATTTGCATCCAATAATCTGATGTGACCCACTCACTTGCCCCCTCCCTTCCCCCTCCACCATCAAAAAAGAAGAATATGGCTTAATTTGATCCTGCACCTTAACAGCAGTTTGCTCCAGTAGTGAAGAATTTCATCATTAAAATGTCAAAAAGTCATCAGTAAAAGGAATACTGACACTGACATTGAAACAAAATAAATGAGAACTACCTAGGTCGTGTAGAAGTCACCTGCAAGAAAATAACTAACAAAGCAACATTAATGGCAACAGAAACAGAAAATTAACCTGCCAATTCAGATGCATGTCACAGGCTTTGGCACTAGTTCATTTATTTAGCCCCAAAACAGCTGGTACACAAAATATTGTCAATAATATGATTCAGAAGTAAATTTTTATAACATCTGCCTTTAACACCAATAATTATTTATTGTTGGAATTCTACTTAATTTTAATTCATAGCAGCTACAGTTCTTTCACTTTAGCACTATGAGTAAGGAAATCTTCATCCCTTACCTTAAACCTAATACAATCATTTGTCTGAAACTCTACATCAAGTGTGACCTCATCTATGTCTTGTCCATATATGGTACTGGCAGAGCGTCTTTTTAGTGTAGCTTTGTAACCTAACTGTGTTTCCTGCACATCACCTTCAATCTTGTATCCACCTTGGTATGATTTTGGAAAAAAGCACCAAGGAACACTCTGTAGATTAAAATTTCTATCTGTTATTTAGCAGTTATATTTAGCAGTCATACTTGCAGATAATTTGTCTGCATGTGGTGTCATGGCAGCCATACAGTATAAGTTTTATGTAACGGAACATACAACAAGTATGAAATTTATTCCTTTCTGTTAAATAACACTTTTAATACATGAACCAAATGATCAAACCCATCAGTTCAAAAGTTCAACAACCCCCCCTTCTTCTCTTGCCTTGCAATCCCCCCACCCCCTCTTCCCTTGCAATTGCCTTAGCAGCCCCCCTAAGCATTGAGTATCTTGAATATTCCCATCCCCCGGCACTGGGGGAGGGGGGTGGGGGGTTAGCGTAAAAAGCGCGTTATTGTTTTATCTTGGCAAAGTTGACTAAAACATTTATCATTGTAAATGTTTTACTACGTTACCTCGGTGCGTGATTGCTCCCATGTGCATCCCCGAGACTCGCAAAGAGTTTGGTTTCCAACTTCAGGGTAGCAGTCGATCTTATCCTGATCAAGGACACGTTCGGCGATGGTTGATGTCAGTAGTAAAACACCAAGAAAAAGGAAAAGTGTCATTTCTTGTGAAAAGACGCCATTACCGGACGGTTGCAATGCAGGGGCGTTTTAAGCGAGTGGGCGCCATCATTTTAGGGTTTTACGCTATTCAAGAGAGAAGTTAGAATGCCTGAGTCATCATTATGTGGTTGGGCAGCGGTATACCCCTACTTCAATCATCCCGAATCATCCCGGGGGATTTTGTCCCGAAGGCGATAAGTCCGCAGTCTGTTCAGTATTCACCACGACTTCGGTGCTCAGACCTCACTTGAGCCCGCTGAGAAGTTTCAAAATAACCCAGCAGGTCGATATGTATCTTCGTTTCCTGCATACAACCCTGACCTCTCCTTCGAACTCGCCTACAAAAGGCAGGGAAAGGGAGAGTTCAAGAATTGGGCGAGGGAGTAATTATAGAACGCAACATTGTCTAGAGCTAGAGGGCTCGTGTACGATTCTTTGACGGTACGATTTTTTTTAAATTTACGGATGTGTTCTATTTACGAAACCATTAAACTAAACACAGCGTTTGGCTTTCCGTTACTTTCTCAAAAAATATTGTAGAACTATTGGCTCATTGAATCGTGAATTCATCGAGTATTTTCGAACTCACCTTGACCTAAAGATATTGACCCCGCCCTGAATTATAACCAGTAATATGTAGGTTTGGCTTACGAAGCAAGAACTCTGAAGACTTTCCCTTATAGCCGGATAAGATGAGTCCATAGTTGTAGCCTGTGTCCAGGTGTATTCAATCGATGTCCGCAATCAACTTGTCAGACAATAATATAATAATCAATTATAATATATAATTCATCGATCAAAGTAAGAAACAAAAGAAAATGACTGTTAGACTGATAACCAGTGTCGTCCCCATAGGCCACTACCAGTTTGGTTAGCAGTGGGAATCCAGAACTCTGGGGCGAAATCAGAAAACGAGCCAGCATTAATCACAGTGGTTACCGTCTCTCTCTCCGAGAGGGGTGGGGAGGGGAGAATTTCCATACGAAAAGGACCGGGACGCTCGTCGGAAATATTGAAAAGAACCCCCTAAGAGGTACCAAGATCCCTTTTCGTGGGCTTGGCTTCAAATTTTTTTCACCCCTAAGAGGTACTAATTCTAAAAAACACATTATCTCCTGTCATATTTTTTCGGTAAAAAGACACCGCGAAAGTTCCTGCTGTGGACTTTTTCAGGCTGAACACCAGAAGAGGTACCAGACCGCTTTTTTAAACCCCTGCGCACGATGAGCATCCCTATCTTTTTTTCACATGGAAGTCTCCCTACCTCCCCCCGCTCCGGTTCTCTAGGCACGTTCACAAACCGTCATTGAACTTGACCACATGTGCACATTTCAACCAATCAGAAGTCTCTGGTTTTGTCCAGACCGACAGGCATTTGTTCACTGGGGCTGACCGAAAACACGCGGGCTTGACTGAATTTTCCCGCCCTTCTTTCTTTAGGGTCTTTTGAGTCAAGTACTTCTATTTTGTTACGGTGTTCCTTGTAAATTTATACGTGCCTTTTCGATTCATTATTTTTTTTTTTTGGACCATTTCCAACACACTGTATCCTTTTCTCACGCTCCTTATTGAACAATTCTCACGGCTTTCTGCACATGAGGCTCTGATAGAACTTCATTAACAAACCTTTGGAGATTTCTCGGGACATGCGATATCCATTTGAAGCGTAAACCGTGAACAAATTATTCACTGACTTCAGTCACTGCATTTGCATGAGACGTGGATTAATCTGCCCTCTTTGCTCTCGCGCTATAGTAACACAGTACTTTACGACATCGTTAATTACCGTCGTCAAGACTAGATCGGATCTGAAAGTTCTTCTCTAGTCTGTGATCTGCTAGTCTTGGAATAATGACTATGAAATCTATATGCAGCGATTCGCAGTACAGAGAGATACTCGAAACACCTCTCTTGACCCAAGTCGATACTGACGGTCTGGTAATTCACTGATCTGATGATTATCACAAGTGGTCCGGCGACGCATTAGTGACGGTGACAGCTTCAATACAGCATATTTCATTACTTTGGATAAATGCCCAGGTCAAAAGACAGAGTGCAAGACGAGGCGTGTCAGACGAAACTTTGGCCATAGTCACAACAAAAGATCGATCCTGTCCTGATCATTTTACGAAGTAGCAAACAATAACTGAAAGAATCGCGACAAACCTCCGAGAAGGACTGTGTCTTGTGTCTGTAGCTGGCAATAGCCGAGTATTGAAGCGCTATACCGAAGGTAAGTCAATATACTCGCCTCGACTGTCTTAATCCAGGCAAAAACATGCATGAAGTCGTGTTACTTGAACATCGATACATTGCAGGTGACTCAAGTGTCCTCAAGTTCTCGTGCAATGTTTTACTGGACAAAACATCACGGAGAACACAACAGGGTGCCTTAGACTTATCAAGCCTTGAAGGACGATTCCCGAAATCTGAGGTCCGTCGTAGAGCAACGCTGAAGTCTTACAAGCTACATGTAAGCGGTGCGTCTAATCCTCCGCAGACATGCTTAATTGTAAACAACTCCTGACATAACTGAAAAGACCTAAAAAGTGCTGGTTCCAGAAATCAATCGAGCTCTATAATCCTCAAATACTTGCAGCTGTTTACAACGCAGCAAAGGACGATTTTCAGGTCACGAAATCCCTCAATTTACGATACTGGTCTGGGCTCTCGAGAGTAGATCAAATGTGTTTACCTCAGACCGTGGTCGGATGAGGCAGGCAGGTCACGGCATTTGTTGTGGCTGGTTTTTATTTTTCGTTGTGTTTTTTTAGCAATGTTCAATCATTACGTACCACAGTTATGATTATCAGATTTTATATAATAATCAAATGAATGCTCGCGCTCTGATTGGTCAATCAGCTATGGTTTATTGTGCCAGTAAACTCATGGGAATTTCGCGTGTCTTCTGAATTATTGGGTGCTTACCATTTGTCAGATTAAACCGGTTGGGATGACCGTTGTATAATGGTAAGGGTTTTTCCAAAATCGGCAAACCAACCGAACGAGATGGCGCTTACCATTTGCAATTCGATTTCTCGTAATTGTTTTCGGCTGATGAGAGACTGGAAACTGGAAAATTTACCAAATGGTAAGGAAATTTTCGCCGTTCCGTTCCGAACGGAAAAAGAGGACTACCTCTGAAGGTAGTCTACAATTTCCGAACGGATTTTCCGGAAAACTACTGTTCCATTTGACTTTCAACCCAAATTTACGGATTTTTTTGCTAAATGGTAAGCACCGATTATATAAAAGCAATAGACCACAAGTTTCTATGGTTTAGAGGCATGATAAACCACTTGGGATGTTGGCAGAACACTCGAAGAATTCGTAAATCACTCGCCAGCGGCTCGTGATTTATTATGGGTTATTGTCCAAGTGTGAGGTCAAGATGGCTGGATATTGGCCAAGTTCTTTTTTTGCGTGTTTATGGACCGAGACGGAGTCGAGGTCTATAAACTCGCAAAAAAAGAACGAGGCCAATATCAAGCCATTTTGACCGAACAAGCTTGGTCAATTAATTATTTATTATATGACTTTCGGGGAAATTTTTCTTGCGGGGCACGGCGGGTAGTCACGAGCGGGCAAGATAGCTCTATCTTGCCCGCTCGGGTAGCCAATCACAGCGCAGGATTTGACAACCTCGTTCCCAGGGTCTTTTCCCTGGTTTGGGGGTGGGGCCCCCAAGCCAGGGAAAAGACCCTGGGAACGAGGTTGAGGATTTGATACATCTTGCCGGCTCACGGAGCTAGCCATACAATAAGAATTCTTCTCGTGTTCTTCCAACGTCCCGCGTGGTTTATCAGCCTATAAACCATAAAAAACTTGTGGTCTATTGTTTAAAAATATCTGCGATACTACGCGCGCTCCCATTGGTCGATAGGTGTGTTTGGTGATGAGAGTAAGTAAACAGGGCTGTGACGTTTTAGATTCGGGCGTATTTTTTTAGAAATAGTTTAAAAGCAGGCTAGAGCAATACATTTTTTTTGTTTGATCAGATCTCTTGTAGATCCTACGTTGGCAGCGTCTATCGTATGCGGTCCCTTGCAGTTTCTGGTTTTTCAATTTTAAAGTATTGTAAAGCGCCATGGACAATTAGTGGAAAATGGCGCTATATAAATGTATACTTATTTATTTATTTATTTATTTATTTATTNTCTGTCGTCCTTCTTCAATGGCGTAATCTGAATAGGCCACTCCAAGCGCTCACTCGTTGCTATGTGAAGTCACGATGGCTGCGACGAGTCGGTCACGAATCAATACCGGAAAACAATAGAATTACCTCCTGCCATAGACATTTTGTGGAAGGAATGCAGCGTACCTGTATGTGTTAATGTTCGACAACCCTCAGATTTGACGATCTATAAACTGCGCGTTTGCTGTGTGACTTTAAAAGTTAACTATAAACTCGTTTCTCTTTAGATATTCATGGAGAACTTCACCGCGGGATATTCTCATCCATCCAATCTCTTGCCACATGACGATATTGACAATAACAAGAACTACAACAATAGCAGCTGCAACAACAACAACAACAACAACGAGATGAAAGGAGTGACAAAATCTCTTTTAACCGATGCGTTTTTTCAAAACGTTCTGGGATTTAGGGGAACAGTGGTTTCGTGGCAAACTTTTGAGGTAAGTGATCTTTTAATGGGTCAATATTCCAGAAAGCCAATTCTCCTGCAGTCTTTTAATCTCAAATTCAAAAGTATGAAAGCATTCAGACTAGTTTACATAAAGGGCAAAGCTAAGCGTAATTAGAAGGTCGATGTTAGTCTTGCGCACGAGCAGGGCATGCATCATCAGTGGCCTCCGAACGGTCAGAGAGTTGGATTTGAGCCAAATCAAAGGGCTTTACCTTTGTGTTATTTTCAAAGGTAACTGCACTCTGCTCTACACCCGCTTAAAGGAGCTCAGTCACGGTATTTTGAATTGTTTTAACTATGATAGAAAAACACCTAAAGATAATAATAATAATAAACCATAAAGGAACAAGGATGCATGGTTAAAGATGGGGAAGACTAACACGGATTACAACCGACGAATTTTAAAAATTTATGTCAAACGTTTCAAGTGCACAAAGCCGTGACGCACGTAGCTCCTTTATAACATGCTAGGAGACCTCAGCAGACTAGTCACTAACTACACAACTGATGGTTATAGACAGACACAGTTAATATGAAGAATTAATGATTTAACAACAAGAGACATTTTAAGACTGCGCATGTATCATGGCATGTTTTCTTCTCATCATGGCCAGATACCTTTACAGAAGATTGGCCTAACAGCAACATGTAAGGCGGCACAGAATGATGAACGAATTATCGGCCTCAGAGGTTTTGAAATCAAATACACACCAAGCTGCGGTAAGAATTCTCCCTGCCCGTTGCCTTTACCTCATCCTGTATATTGAATCATCTTTGTTTTGAAAGCTTGGGAGACTGAATGAACTGGAACCCTCAGTTTCGTCATATTTATAAGGAATCTATGATAAGTTCCGGTTGTGTTAGTCATTATTAAGTGTAAAACATTTATGCTTCGGTTTTGTCTAACTACGCTATGCGATTGGCTTAAAAAACTCACCGCGGCCACTTTGACATCCAATCAGAATTAAAACCAAAACCAATCGTAACTGGTTCCCACTCGTTTTCACGTGCATTTCGTCGGTTACCTATTTGTTTGGAGTTTGATTGGTTCAAAGGGTTGTTCGTGTCCTTTGTAATTGGCCAGAGTAATTAAATTGATTTTCGTTTTACGACAGTCAAAGAGCCAGTTACGATTGGTTTTGGTTTTAATTGTGATTGGATGCCAAAGGCGTAGTTAGGCAAAACCAAAGCAAGAATGTTTTACACTTAACAGGCCACATGCCCAAGCACGTGATCAGAATGGATTTGCCAGGTGTTCTCTCCTATAGTGTCGATGAAGTTCCAACAAGGTCTTTTACAGTATTATTTTATTGTTTCACTGTCAACATTACAGGAGAGCCTGCAACCAAAACACTGCGTGTGGTGGCGAAGTGTAAACCGCTGGCCGACAGGTTCGTTGATATCTTTGGAGACTGGATCAAACAACAAACCGGAGATGTTCGCCAATACGCCGAGATGTTCCGACATGTGTCGTACTTCAGGCTAGTTGTATTTGCCTTTTTATGAATTGACGTTGTCGCACTGAGTGTCTAGATGGGGGTGCTTGAATCAAAGTTATCAGCTAAGTTTTAAGCGATTTCTCAGCTGTCAGTTAAAACAGTTCCGCCACTTCTCAGCTCTCAGTAGATCTCAGCAATCACTTACAAAAAACGTCATTTCTGAGATTACAGTTACAATTTTTGTCAATTAGCGACTATCACACCATTTAGGCTCTCTGTGCTTTCCTGAACTAAGATGGTCTTGATGCAACAACATTGAATTAAAAATACTTTTAGTTGTAAAAAAAATCTAGAAAGAAAGAAACCCAGTCTTCAATAAACGACATTCAGTTCAGCCTACAACAATTGCGATAGTATAAGAGTATAAGAATTATAAGCAGTTGTGGAAAAAGTGCCCTGGGGGACAAGCTTGACAAGATCAGGGTCATTGGTCTCTAACAAGCTACGCTTGTCTGAATCTACAGGACATTTTCTTTTAACAATTTTAGGAAGTCGGATGTGAGAGAGCTAAAAGTGATGAAAACACGTGACCAAAGATTTACGGACATTGCACCAAAAGTTTACCACACCATCTGCATTCCTTCTAAGGTATGTGTTATTCATTTTGCTACAAGAGTCGCAATTGTAGCCGGGAAATCCTGGGATGTGGGAAACGAGTGCTCATGGCGGAGAATACTGCAAATTGTCCGCAGAAGTGATTGCCGCTTTCGATTGTTCTTTTATCGCCATGGGTTGATGAAAGTCTTTAATTGCTTGTTTTCATGCCTGTTGCTCGTTTGTTTCTTCAATTGCTTGTTTACTTGCTTCTTTCCCCACTTATTTCCTTTCTTTTACAGGAGGTTTTTGTTATAGTTATGGAAGAGCTTACAGGTCATGTGACACACTTCAACACCATTGATAATGCGCCAGAGGTCTGGGACCAAGATGATATAAAGGTAAATCTAGCTATCGCGTAACTTTTTCAAAAGAAGGTATCATTGACTCGCTTTGGAAATGGAAGGGAGATTTGGTAATTCTCTTCAGCGTTTAATTAATAACTGAAGAAAAACCTACTTTCGCAGGCTATTTTAGGTTTAGCCACCTAAAAAAGTCAACAAAATCCCGTGGCTTCCCTAACTGCTAAATTACGGGGCGAATTTTTATGTGTGCCTTTGAATGACGTCTGATTAAACCGTCATTCTATATAGTCATGTATTTTTTTTTTAGTGGTGTGACTCTGTGTTGTATTTTGTTTTTAACAGGTTATATTGCGAGATATTGCCCGTTTTCACAGTATCTACCTTGATGACGTAGCTCGCCTCTTATCAGAGCCGTGGATGTGTGTGTACAGCGGCAATGTTATGAAGGCACTCTCGGGATTTTGGCGCGCGCTTTTGCATCAGAATCACGCGTCATTTCCTGATCTTTGGACAACGGCAAGGTATTAAACTGCGACATGACGCTTTAATAATAATAATGATAATGACAATGACAATGACAATGACAATGACAATGACAATGACAATGACAATGACAATGACAATGACAATGATAATGATAATGATAATGATAATGATAATGATAATTCAAAAGCCTGTTATCTAGTAATTTAATAACTTTCTCAGCTGATCCAAATCACGGTGTACTGTCTTATTAAAATCAGCACCGTATCGTGACTGCTGCTTAGCCCCTTGATAATTATGCTCTAAGGTAATTATAATCTATCTTGGCGAAAACTTACGACGAAATTTGTGTTGTATGTTGTATTCTGGGTTAGTATTGGCCTTTGTTTTCAATATGGCTGACTTTTCAACACTTTTTTCCAAAAGAGCACGGGAAGGGGCATTTTCAATACGCTGGGCAGCTGAATAACCATAACATGTATAATGTAATTTGCCACGTCTGTCATTTTCTTTTTTAGGACGAGACTTTTGAACAGCTTTATTGACAACCTAGATCACGTGTGGCAAGTGATCGAATCTTTTCCACGGACTCTAGTTCACTACGACTTCACTCCAAGAAACGCTTGTATCCGCAAGCGAGAGATAACTATGAATGATAAACAAAGCGAATTCATCACAGAAAGCAAATTACGTCGAGTGTCCTGTGTGTACGATTGGGAAATGGCGACAATTCATGCGCCTCAACATGACGTGGTTGAATTTCTTGCATTTGTGCTTCCTGCCAAAAGTGACGTCACGACCCGTACGAACTTTGTCCGGTTTTATCAGGAACAACTGGAAAAATTCAGCGGCAGAAATTTCGACTCTGAACAGTTCATGGAAGTCTTTAACGCTGTCTCTTGTGTTTATGCTTTGCATCAATTGTCTTTAAAGACCATCACACACTCGGTTACACGACTACCGTACTTTGAGAGAGCTGTGCAATCACACATGGGGTTTTTGGAGGACTTGGAAGCAATGGGCCGGCTTGAGTTCCTTAATGTTGAGCCCCGTTAAGGACTGCTTCCTTGCTTTTAAAAGAAATCAAACACCATTAAGTCATTTAAACTAGTGTAGACTATATAATTACAAAATGAAAATTTTGTATCAAATAACGAAAACTTTTGCAGAAAGCTATTATTGGAGGAAGCTAGTCTCTTGTAGGAAGTCAGAGGAACAACTCAGCACTCGTTCTAAACAAACTCTGTATAATTTCTCTGTGCGTTCCCACGCAACGACAACAGCAACAATTTACGTCTTTCTTTGTTTACCGGTATATGGGTTATGTTGTTAGATTTAAATAGCTGTGACGGAACCGGAAAGCTGGGAAGTGGCCAGTATTTCAACCCACAGCTATTATAATTGAGCACTTCCGTTCATATCCTCTCTAATATTCCACCTCCCTCTTGCAAAGAAAAAGAACCGTTGCATGTAAATAAGTTAATTTATAGGGCAAACCACGTTTACAAGATTCGACGAAGCAGTTTCTTCTTTTCTTGTAGTTCACCTTTTTCATGTAAACTCAGTTTAATTTTTAATGTTAAAGCATTGATTGACCCAAATTTGCCTAGATGCTGTAGCAAGCACGATTATGCAGTCCCTTCATGACTAATTTTTACCGCCAGCTACAGCCGGCCGGTGCGGGTTGTTCGAAAGCCGGTCAACGCTAAACAAAGGTTAAAAGTAGACCTGAGCATTACTTTCTCTATTATAAAAGATGTTTTTCACTGCGTATGTTTTGTATAGGTTGAGATTCAAACGCAAAACAGAGGGAATGATCAACGTAAATAGACCGCCAACCTCACCGAAGAGTTACAAAACTGAACTGAAAACTCTTGCTAATCCTGGGTGAACAACCCGGTCCCGGCGCAGTAGACTCGTTTCTTAAAGGAAAACAATGGTTATTGTTTGCTGGGTTGGGAAAACTGGCATCATGACGTCATCCTTGCATAGTTAGAGAAAAGACTTTACTCTTCTCAATCTGTAACCAAACTGGCATATAATTCATAAAAGGCCACCCATATATAGTCGCCCTGTAACGACTATATGTGTCCTACCATGAAGTTCTGCCACCAAACTAGTCCAGTTCTGGTCCTCTCTCTGTTACGCACCGCTACGCAAAAACCAAAAAAGAAGAGGGAAAAAAAAAAAAACAGAAAAATAGATGCAAATTTTTCTCAGCTTCTGTCATTGTAATTGTTAATTAGTTACTTATTTTAAATTGAAATTTAGTTGTTACTTCTATTCCTAACGGTCACTTCTGAAGAAGTAAGTTGAAACTTACGAAACGTCAAGTAAATGAACTTTGTTTTTTAACATGCGTTTTACTGTCATGTTTATCACGCAGTAGAGACCGAGGCTCCGCAGTGTGAGACTGGTGCCTAGTATTACCCAGAACCCATAAAGCGCTTGTCATATATATGGCCCTGTGTGTTTTGTTGAATATTTGATTATTTACATTTTGTCGCCATTGAAATGGAGTGTGCAATAATCATGGACCTTATGTCATCCTTCTGAGTTAACAAGGAATATGGTAAGCTTGCGTAGACCTGCTTAAAAGTTTTAGCCGTTTCAAAGATGCGTGCATCTGAGTAATGTATAGAGCTTAGTTATTTTTCTTGCGCCTTCCTTCGAAAGTGAGAGTGAGGCTTTTACGAGTCTTACATTTGTGAGGAAGTTGACGTACTCTTTTCGTTTTATAAAAGGTACTTTGATCAATGTGTTGACTTGTGCACTATGGAGCGATTTCTTCAATTCTTTGACTTTTGTTTTCAACTTGCAAGCTTCAATAAAGATGACATCGCGCCGTACGTAATTTACTAAACTCATATAGATTTGATATTGAAGTCTGCGGAGTTATCTTTTTTAGCTTATAAAAGATTTTCTCAGGATACAACTGTGAACATTATGCTCATATTTATTTTAGAGTGCGGTTTTCAAAAGGGCAGTCGAACACGTAAACTAGCCTAGAGCGAAAACAAAGAGTCTCTTCCAAAATAATTTCAGGTGACTCAGCTGCATTAAGAGCTTGCATTATGTTAATTATGTTTTGTTCACTTCCTTCCATGTCGGCTAAAGATAGTAATCGTTCCATCCATGCCTCGTCTTGTTGTAATATGATAGGAATAGAATGGCTAAGATGACGGATAGAAGCATTTTAACCATATTATCGTCTTATATTCCACCGCCTGCATGATAAGCTTAGCCAAACCAATTCCACTTTGTAGAATTCTAAACCAAGTGTCGAATTTCACGCTCGATTTATTTTTAATCGATCACTTGTGACAGCCCAACGAATTGCACTTTCCGATGTCTGACCCATAATTTTATGATAAGCAATGTGCTTAGAAGAATTGCACTGTGTTAAATATATTTCAGTGAGATTCCGTTATGTGGCGGTTTATTATTTATAAAAACTTATGAATTTTAATTTGGCAGGGTCCAATATATTTCTTAATTTTTGCAGCCGGATTTAATTCAGCAACTGTTGACAAAAGAAGGGATAAAGAGAATTTATCTGCCAATTTTTCAGGCTTTTGAATATATTAATAATCAATTTGTGTTGAAATGAAATTTCGTAGAATGACTTGACTTTTCGTTTTGTGACTGTATATTGGACATTATTTTTGTTTTGACACACTGTCATGAAATGTGATATTACTAAAGAATAGTAATTTTTGACTCAAAATCCTTTGTGGCTATCTTTTTGTCAACAATGTCTACTTGATTAAAAGCCAACTCAGTTGGCTTTTAATCAAGTAGACATTGTTGAGGTTGGAAATTATCATGTTTCAGCTTCGTGGCAGTTGAGCTAGAAATGGCAAACATCTATATACGTGAATTGTATCTTCTTCAAGGCATGATCTCAGTTCCAATATCCAAGTAAACCTTAATTGAAGAACTTTGTTATATTTGAGAACTAAATTTCTTTGCTGGGTTTTCTTTGCAGGATTATGATTGACAAAATTTTAGAGTCATTGAGACGTGGAACAAACTTAGCTTTTCTAGCATAATAATTGTTGAATTTGCAGAAGACTAATGAATTTAGGAGAGAGAAATAAAACTGTTATTTGTGAATACTGATAAGACATATTTATATTGTACCCAATATTTATAACTAGCTTTCAGCACAATCTCCAGCTACTATTAGGGAGTTATGCAAATTCTTTCAAGCAGATGTAGACACAGAACACTGTAAAAATTCTGATTATTGTTTTAAGGCCTGTTAGGTGAGCTTGTTTTGTGTAGGCCCCTTTTGGATTTGAGCATAGGGAGGTGTATACATTGGAAGGAATTTTATATTTAAAATACTTTATGTCTTAAAAAAATGCGCATAAAAAATTTCAGGTGCATGGGAGGGGAAGCTTTTATTGCAACTGTGGTGGATATCGCCAGTATATTGCTGAATATCATAAGGATAACATTCCTTGGACACCTAGATTTTGACTCTCATGGCTTGACCAAAAAAAATGTACAGTAGTTCAAAGAGTGCTTTCAATTCATGGTTCCATCTCCATTTATGTCATGGAACAAAAGATCTGGGGACTGCTAATCAGTTTTAATCATACTATACATACATTTCTATATAGTTCAGATCCAATGTTTGAATGAAACCTAGGCCTGTACCTAGACCTATGTTGAGTACACCTGCATGACTGTATGCTGGGAAAACAAGAGAAAAACTATAAATTATATATTCTAATGTAAAGATCCAATTTGGCAGATATTTATACAAGAGTTGAAAACATGCTACATGTAGATATCTGTAAATCTACAAGTTTGAGAAAACAACTTATATTTTCTTAATTTCATGCTCATTTAGAGAAAACTTTCTTGTTTTAAAAACAGGTTTTTAGGTAAAAGGACTGTCACTGTGTGGATTAAATATTTCAAGTTTACTGATTTGTGCTCAGTGCATTAATTTACACGTGTAGACTCAATTTTAGTTGATTTCATGACTTTTGTTTCAGGTGATCTTGCAGCAGGTTTAGTGTTCACTATTCTATGGTCATGGATGATGTGGAAGAATCTTTAGACAACACAGTTGGGGAGTCATTGTTTCTAGAGGGTGACCAAGATAATGATGCTGAGTTGAATGGCAACCAAAGAACCAGTACACCCACAAAATATATTCCTTTCCCTGAAGAAGAATTATCAATTGCTGACGGACAGTTACCACACCAAGGACTTGTTTTGTCACCAATGTCCAATTCTGGGGCTGGCATTACCACTCATGATCAGCCAAGCTCTTCACCTGACCAAACTTTCCTTTCACTTAGAGAATCTTCTGCGCAGGAGTATTCCGGAGATGAATCACAGTCATTATATACCTCTGCATTGCCTACTGTAAATGCTACAGTGACTTCAGATAGCTGCAGTGCTGCAGAGAGCAAAATGGAAGAACCAAGTACATGTAAATCGTCTACCCAAGAGAGTACCTGGGAGACTGCTTATGGATCTTTTCAAGACAATTCTGATTTAAAAGATGTTACAATTAAACAAGAGCACAGTAACAGCAATTTATCAGGAGAATTTCAAGATGAAGCTGTAGATGATTCTGATTATGAGGATAACAGTGGTGAAGTGCCACATGATTTAAGTGGATCAACGAATGAAGACATATCTTCTACTGTAGAGGACGATCAAAATTCACAACATTGGAGAAATGGCATTTTTGAGGGCAAAGAAATCTCAGATAGAACAACACATTCAAAGGATGTAAATTCTCCTGATTTAGACTTGTTAAATGAGATCTGTGAAGAGGCTACCAACATGACAATCAAGGAGGCTTTGATCTGTTCGTTAAATCCGGGTGTGCGAGCTGGATTAAGAGAGGGAAGACTTTCACTGAATGAGAGTGAAATACTGGCCCTGGAACAGTACTGTGAGCAATTCATTGATAATTTAATCTCTCAGCTTTTAAATGGACAGTGGTCAGAAAGTATTAATATTGAGACATGTAAGCAGAAGCCTCAGGAAAGCAAGGCCAAAGTGGCAAAGAAGTTGAGCAGTCTTGATTTAGAGACATTGAAATCTAACTGTGATAGATTTGTTCACAGTATCATCACAGAGTCATTGCATGATTCCTGTTTTGGTTTCCAGAACAAGGAAAGAAAACAAACAGCTGGTGAAAGTGAATTAAATGCCTTGCAAAAACAAAATGTGTTGGATCAAAACAGCGTTCAGGACGTTCTTCCAATCTTCAAAGAATCAAGTGTAATTCAGGAGTATATTGGCTTTCTTGCTGCAGACATTGTGAAGTCAGCATTGGCCAATTTGTCAACTTCCATAGCAACAAAAAGTGGTGATAAGAATGAAGAGATGAAATTGAATAACAATAGCACATCACATGACAGAACAAGTGAACAAGAAAAAACTTATTCTTCAAAAGACACTGTTGGAGACCAAGGTACAAACACAAATGATGACATGCTGAAATCTCACAGTACTTCTGGTAGAGGTATAGAAAACGGAACAAATGGAAGCATTGCATTGATAGGCAGTGATGAGGATTTTGAAATACAGTATGAGAAAGAAACGGAGGAGCTTTCAGATGATGAACAGATTTTTGGTAGCAGTTTAACTGGTGCTTTAGAGACTTCTCTGGAGTTTGATCATGATGTTGGTGATTGGGAAGGTGGTGGATTGTTGGCAGATTTACATACATTGGGCTCAGGTAAGAGAATTTTTTGTTGATCTGAAAATTAAAAGCTGAATGAAATTGAGGTAGTGTGACAGAACTTAGATGCTGGGTCAAACCTATATTTTTCATTAAATAAAAATACACAGAATTGTGCATTTTTGATCTTACAGTTACAATATGTATACTGAAATAATTACTAGCTACATCTACTTGAATACATTGTACTTGTGGTAACTCATGCTTGCTATTGCTATCAGAAAAATATGTACAATTAGTTATTTAATCACAAGTAGTATAAAGAAATGGTTACCATACTTGTTAGCTTGAAATAGCATTTCTTATACTGATAAAGCTACTTCTACATGTAACAAGAAAATGTGTTCTTGGACCCCTGTATTTCTTTTTCGTAACTGAAGTTGATATGTAAAACAACACTACTGATCCCCAAAGATGTAAAGTTGGTATTTATTATACATGTAGACATCTGTGACAGCTAACTAATGGGCAGCTAATACACATGGGCATGCAAGTCCAATTGAATTGTGTTTAAAAAAATTTTTGCTGAGCAGAAATTGGAGACTGTGCATGTGCATTGCACAAGAAAGCTCCTAAGAAAAAAAATAAAAGCTTTGTGTTCCCCCTACAAGAATTGAACCCACAATAACTGCACATTGTTTTCCACAGTGACTATACTTGTTATTTTAATTTTAGAGAGAAAACAGAAGATAGTGTTGCGAGAACTGTCATTTGATGAGCATGCAGAGGTTGCTGGAACAGAATTGTTGGCACCAGTCTTTCTTGCAATTGCTGAGGAGAATGATGAGGACTCTGAGTTCCAAGGAATGAGAAGGAAGGCACAATCTATTGAAGACTTGTGTGCTGTCATTGACGAGGATGGTAATTAAAAATAATTATAATTACTTTTTTTAGCTCATTCACACTGTAATTTTTAATGCCTCAGTAAACAGTCAAATGTTGCAATCTCTTCCTGTGCTGAGATCATTTTCACGAGAGAATGTTATTTTAGAATAGAAATGAAACATCCAGAATGTAGTATCTGATGATCCATCTAAAAATATATTAAAATGAACAATTGTTTTAAAAGCTTTGTGTTTGGTGTACATTTTGTGAAACAGGTCTCTTCCGTTGCCCTGTTGTTTTTCAGTTTTAAAACAACTCACACTACTCAGTGTAATTGCCAATTTATTTTCAGAGCATCCAAGACAAAGGAGTTATTCAGCTCCTAAGAAAATCAGAACAACCCCTCAACCCTTCCACACTGAATTCAAGCCAGAGGAAGACAGCAGTGAAAACGGTGAAGCAGAGCTCAGCGAAGAAGAGTATGAGGGAGATGAAGAAAGTGAGACTGGAGATGAGGATGAAGAAGCTGATAGTGAACACCACGGAGAAGAAAATGAAGAGGACTCCGGTGGTGTAGAAGCACAGCTGGAGGCTGGCTCTGATAGTGAGAGATTCCGCTGGCATACTGTGAGTGTAAATGGCAGGGATAAAATACTGGATTTGAAACTACTGGAACCTTACATGAAAGTCATCTCTCATGGAGGTACATGTAATACTTAACAGAACATGTTTAACCATTATGTCTGTGGATGACAGTATTAGCGGTGGTGAATGGTAAATGCGGGACTTTGCAAGAAGCCAAGACTAGCATTTTTTCTTTACGAGCTTGAGATGTTTTGACTTCTACAATAAATTTGCAAGACAGAGATTTCAAAATGTTTCAAATGCAAGCTCAAGATGTTCAGGTTCTCAGATGTTCAGACAGCTTTTTGAAAAAATCGAGACTGTGCAGTGCACATAACTGAAATAAATGAGACTGTAAGACCCATGAAATTTGCCAAAAATTTTGCAATACCCACAGTTTTTGAAGGACTGTTGGCCACCCCTAGTATTGCCTTGTTAGGTCAGCAATGTGATGTGTTGATTATTTTTCTTTCATTATTTAACACTGAGTTTCACCTTGACTGGAGTCCTTACAGGCTGTGGGTTGTCTAGTTGGACAAGATACATGTACTTCATTCTCATAGTGCTTCAAATACTGTAGCATGCATATTTTACAGCTTGCCCCAACAATGTAGTTGCTGATATCCAATGTCTGCTTCATAGGGGAAAGATGGATGAGTGACAACCACATTTTGTTTTACAAACATCTTGCCATTATTAAAGAGGACATTACCCACTAATCAGTGCGCCCTTTTCCAGACAGAACATTGTGAATTCACGGTCTACTGAATAACTTCAGTCTGACATTTTGCATTTGCAATGCTGTTACAATGCAAGTGACACTCGAGACTGCTCCATGCCAAACCTGACTCTGCTGTGTAATATCTTGTGTGTGTCTTGACACTTTAGGCTATTTCAGTGACACCAAGGCAACTATTGTTGTGATTGCTGCCTGTTACCTACCAGACAGAAGTATAAAGAATTATGATTTTCTTATGGAGCAGTTGTTCTTGTGAGTATGCCTCAGCTTAATATGTTACTTTATCATCAGATCTTTGTCAAATTCCCACCACTTTTTCCCTTCTTCCTTTTGCAATTTTCAATCTGCTTAATCATAATAATCATAATAATAATCTATAGTTATGTATCATCTTCTGTCATCCTTAGTTCATTTTCCCAATATACCTTTAGTTCCCTCATTCACCTTGCGACAGGCAGTTAGCCAGATGGGTGTCCAGGAGTATTGTGGACGGTCATTTTTTTTAGAATTTTTTTTTTTTTGTATGTTAGTTAAAAATTATTGGCCTGAACTAACCCAGTAGCAAAGTTTTGAAGCCACTTTCCAAATGCCTGAACCTTGCACACTGCCTCCCACCATCTACCCTCCATCCATGTCCCCTCCTTCCCTCTTCTGAACTAACTCCCCACCCCCAACTCTCCTTATGTCATGGAATGCCCATCTGGACAAAGTATCTTGTTTGGTTCTGTTGTAGTTATGTTATAAGCACGTTAGAACTTCTGGCCATCCATGAGGAATATTACTTGGTGTACCTGAATGGTGGAACAAGACAGCAAAACATGCCATCAGTTACATGGATGAAGAGATTTTATCAGTATATTGAAGGAGGGTAAGAACAGACTTTCTTGCAGTTAGTGATCACTCTAACCTGATTCTCTGGCTGTCTGAGGACACTCGTACCCACTCCTAGGAAACTGTGGGAGCAAGGAAGTGAGAGGGAGTGAAGAACTAAACTAGCATAACTCATGCAAAGTAAAATCTTTTTATTCCTTCAAGTAGATTGGTACTGACTAGGGATTCATTAAGGGCCTGGCACCAGGCAAATTGACTGCCTGTGAGGATAATTTTGCCCGCCTGGTTTGACCATCTAGCGGAAAGTTTTCCTATGAAGAAGTTCAGTTCCAATAAGTTCTGCCTGCCTGTGAAAACCAGTTGCCCTGACCTGCTGAAAACATTGATGAAACCCCTGACATACCATGTACAGTCATTTAGAACATTGAAACCATTGATAGATTTTCTACAAGGAGGGAAGAATGTAATCCTACTGTTGAAGGCATCATTATTGGGGTAGACCACTGACAGTAGTTACTGATGTGCCATGTGTGAAGAGGTTTACAGCTACTTAGCTATCTGCACGTATTACATGCCTTTGATACAAGCCAGATTGTGTTGCAGCTGACCTACAGCATTGTTATTTTTTAGCCTGAAGAAGAGAATGAGAGAGATGTTCATTGTGCACCCCAGTTTTCGACTGAAAGTAGTGATAACACTCGCCAAGCCACTGATCAAGTAAGACCTTTGTTTAAGGACAATGGAACTTGCATGTGAAAAGTCAGGGACGTATGCTAGAAAAATTTAATTAGACTCCTGAAGAAGATCAATCTGGTTGTGGCTCAAGCTTTCTTTGACCCAGTGACCCCTAAAAGATTCTACTTTTCTAAAAACTATTTCATGCCTGATTGGTCTAGAGACCATCAACACAGTATGACAGTATTTTTTAAATTATTTGCTTGCAACCCACTAGTTTAAGTTTAATAAGTTTAGTAGTAATACTTCTATACTAAGTACTATTCAATTTTCTCTAAACTAGTAAATTTATTGCCTAAAAACTAGCAAATGTATTTCTTATTCTTATTGTAAGGACTCCTGGCCAGGTATCATAATCTTCTTTAAGGAGGCATGTAACAGAAAAATAAATCTGCAAACCCAAAACAATAGTATCTTGCAGGTCTTTCTGCCTTGAACAACTTAACTGATATCTTAATCCCTGTGAGAGGTGACAAACGTATCCAAACCTTTCACATACAAAGTAGGAGGGCCCTTGTGGGGCAGGACATTTTTATATGTAACACTTGTGATGTACCAAGCTTGCGTTTGAGTGTCTCGAGTGATCACCTTACTGATGTAATTAGCTTTACAAGCCTTTGCAATATAATAACTTTTTTCCTCGTCTGTCCTTCAGTGCAAGTTTTTGGAGGAAGCTTAGTTTTGTCCACACACTGGGCAGTCTGTCGAGTCTTGTTCCAGTGGACTATATCTACATTCCTGATGAAGTTATGAGGTTAGTGGCAGAGATCTTTGTTTAGCCACAGACCCTTAAGCACTTAAGAAAGTGGGGACATAGCGGCCTAATGGTGCGTGCTGGACTGGGGTCACTGCGTTGTGTTCTTGAGCAAGATGCTCTACACAAGGCCTCTCTTCACTTAGGTATAACCAGATGGGGGTGAAGGGGGCGGGGTGAAATATTTCACTCTGATTAATAAGGGATAAGGTTTGGTGGTATGAGACACTTGGGCCAATGGAGTCAGTCCCCAGTGTGTGGGTGTATTTGGTCATTCCACTAGTTTGAGTACGAATCAAAGCCGTTATTATAGAACTGCTAGGTTCTATAAGTGATCTGTTTTGTTGTAGCGTGACGTTTTTGGGAATAATGCTGCTCCCCCCGATCAAGATGCTTATGCTAGAATTCAATAAAGCCAGCAAACATTGCCCGTGTGTAATATGTGGGTATCCTTTTGTCTCAGAATTTCCTAATTGCATCTAGCTCATTTCTTAATTGATCAGTTTGGTTCTGATTTTCTTCCGTTTGTAGAGTGGATCCAACTTACAGACAAGTACACAACCGATGAAGATTTCAACAGGAACATTAATTTAATATGCTGTCAATACATCGACGGTAAAATAACTAGACCAGTCTACATTGATTTGGTGTTTCTGTACCGCAGAACACAATTACATGTATAATACCTAGTCGAGTAAGCTTCAAATAATGAAACAGCTGGACTTACACGAAGTAGCAATTTTAATTACAAGTTATCAGCACATATTTTGTTTATACAAGTTGTGAGAATTTGGCGGTTTATCACTGAAGACCTAATTTTCTCATCACTTTTTTGCTTGAAATGCATTACGTGTAAAATGGCACTTTGACAAACTGATGTACAGTACATGTTAACATTTTATTATGCAAAGCCAGTGCAAGTGACTTGAGCATGCGTAATAAACATTTTTGTTGCATTTTATTCAATGAAAATGGTGTAAGCCGCATCATGCAATTTTATCAAGGTAAATATAATTGTAAAAAAGAAAATTGTTTGAAAGTGTAGTCCAAGTTAAACTAAAATTGGTTCAACAAGTTGTAAATAGGTTTCACTGGTTAAAACGCCGGTAAATTAAGTTATTTTTAGGTATGTAAACTCGTAATTTTAATATATTTTCACTGGAGTGTTTGTAATATACTTATGTCAGTTGTGTCTACAGAATTAAACTGGAGATTGAACTGCAGGGTTTTTTTTACTGAGCTTTAACGGTGAGCTTTAGTCCCTTCACTTTTCCAAGAATTAAGAGCTGCATTAAAAGAAACGTTATTGGAATGGTTCGAAAGTACTGAAATTTTCATTTGCTTTGGTTTAATTTTGCACTTCTACGCTATACGACTGGCAATCAGAAGCAAAACCTAACGCTAATTGTGATTCGCTCGCACACGTATTCCCACGCTTCGCGTCAGCTACAAGTATTTGCTTCGAAATTTGACTGGTTCACTGGACTGTCTATTTCCTTTGGGTTTGTCTAGTTCTTAGGAATTGGGGGCTAATTGCATGGGCCGGGCAGGTCCGATTTGCTAGGTTAAGTGGGCTTCGTTTGTCGAGATCTCGCCTCTTCCTGTCCAGGATCCTGATAATCGGGCTCGAATGTAGTCACCGGGCAGCCCGAACTACCGAACCGTATCTTCTCGCCAAAATCGAGCTCGCTCCGGATTCGCGCAGCTCACATCAAGCCGGACTGAAAAAAAAAAAAACGTTTTAGTCGGCTCCGGGAGGCATGGAGAAAAATAAGAAACAGGTATGTTTTCCGAAATGTAAGCTGGTATTTTATTAGTTTTGCACAGCCAAAAACAGGGTAAATTTGTAGTATGAGACAAGGCTACAATATCAATCATCGTCAAGTGCTAGTCAAGTCGTAATACATCAGTCAATTCCAGCTTTACCCATATGCCAGATACATGTAAGTTGAAGTCAGCGTCAGGAAGCTCAGAGTTGAAGTCAGCGTCAGGAAGCTCAGAGTGGCGTGTTAGGATCCTAATGAACTTTGTTTTCCTTCACCCTCAAGAAGTTTTTTGTATTTGTCCGCGGGAAACGGAGTAATACGGTTCTTTTGATCGCTGTCGGATGCGATGCGAAGATTAAAACCCTTTCATTACTTTTATAAGTGAACTAGAAGTTTGTATCGAATCGACTTTGTATGTGTATAAAAACGATTTCGAGATATAACGAAACGACCTGGAAACGACAAAAGGACCGGATACCAGACAGTCCAAGGACTCTATCCGCTTAAGGTGTTTAGTACCTTTGTAAGATTAGAAGTTTACTTGCTTAGTTTGTAAAAAAGATCAGCAGTTTACTTGCTTAGTTTCCCCTTGGAACGAAGTGACTATTCTTTGGAACGAAGTGACTCTTTGATGGAACGAAGTGACTTGGAACGAAGTGACCATGGAACGAAGTGACCGGATACCCCTCCTCCGGGCCGACCCCTTGCTTTAGGATTGTTCGAAAACAGCTGGCAAATGCTCCACGGCCGGGAAAACTGACTAGTTGTTCAAACGTTTTATTTTCTTCGTTTCTCGTGCCACTTTCACAAAATTTAAGCTAATTCAAGTCGCGTTAAGTCCTAGTTAACTCTTATTTCCCATAACAGTGGGTTCATTACCGGGTCTAGCATTTTATTTATACGCGGTATTTCTTGTCGAGATTCATTAAGAAACTTGCGCCGATGAATTGGTCATTAAAGAAGCGACAATGCTGTGAGGAAAAAAAAAAAGATTTTCCCCGAGAAAAAATGACCTAGTATTGCTCTGGGGATTGGCTCAGCTGTAAAATAAAATTAAGCGATCACTGCCTTAATGCGCCCGAAAATATTATCACAAGTGTCTTACCGTATGGGAGGCTTCAACTTCAACGCTTTCGTTTGAATTTTCCAAAGTAAGGTGTTCAAAGCTGTTGAGCACTGAAGTGGGCTTTCGTGGGAATTAACCCAAGATCACGTCAGATACTCCAATTCTTCCACCTTCAAGCACTTTCCGCGCAGGGATTCTTTTCTTCTTTGCGTTTTGACAAAACCTCAGGTGCAAGTTTTCGCTTTGAAGGTGACACTATAGAGTCTACGAAGCGATGTATTGCTAAGCTGTGGTAAGTACGAAGAAACCACCGAAACCACCGAAACAAGCGAAACGAGCGAAATGAAACCACCGAAACAAGCGAAACAACCAAAACGAAAAACAGATACGACAAATACGATACGAAACGACCAAAAAAAAAACAAAAAAAAAACCACGGGCCAGGGAAAGACAGAATTATCTTACATTTAGGACTTTGAGCAGCAAGGCTGCCTTGTAAAGACTGAAAGAAAATGTTGTTGTATTTTTGTATGTATTTTAAGGGTGGAACGCCGACCAAAGCAGATGCGAAAAGAAAAGAAAGGAAAATAATAGAAAAGTTAGGAAAGGAAGTATTCATTGACAACGTCTCAGTCAATATCGCTACTTTTCTCCCTTAGACTACTTTTAAACTGCTTAGTAGCGAGGAGTGGAGATCAGCTTTTTAGGGTTCATTCAGCAGAGGTTAGTTCATAGGAGTGAGGATTGAAAAAAGCTTCAAATGACAATCAAACTCAACGATCTTTTAATGAATTTTCTTCTGATCAACTCATAATTAACAGTCATCTTGTAATTAGTATATCAGCGACAAATGCTGAAGAGAAAAGAACAGCAACAAAAACAAACAAAAAAAACATTTCATTATTCGAGCGTTTAGAATACACCTCTTCACGCTCTAATGGCCATTATGGGTAATCGGGGAAAATTTACAAAGAAGCAAATCGTCGACACCCTTGTGCTCACCCATCTTTCAAAATGTCACGATGTCACACGCGTGGCTAAAGAGCAGGATCTGGGTACGAGATCAGGCTGCCATAGTAACGTGCGAGAGATCAAGACTGTTTTTTTTAAACTTTTTTATTTATTTACTTACTATTTTACTTGTTTCGGTGGTTTCGTTTCGTTTTTTCGGGTTTTAGTACATGCCCCGTTACCGTACCGTTTCCGAAAACAAAACAAAACAAAAAAAAGCATCATTTCAGAACCAAGATTTACCTCTCGCACGAATGATTTCCATAAAAATGAACGATAACTTCTTTCTCCAATCAAGCAATAAAACAAGCACGTTGTAGCTACTATGAATGGCAACTTGTCCTAATGATTCGATTTAGCACCAGAGGCAATAATGTACTTTTGGAAGCTTAAGAGAGGCCGCTTATTGGAGAAGGGGCGTTTATCAGGGTGTGAGCGTGACCGTGAGCGTGACCGTGAGCGTGACATGTGCTTGCAGTCTAGGTTTTGCTAACCCTTTTGACTATTTTGACAACAGCGCTGATAATTACATGAACATCAATCAACATTTTTATTGACACCAAAACCCTTTTTTCTTCTCAATTTTCCCATTTTTGTAAAGGTACCATAAGCAAATGATCTCCTGCTATACTGAAAAACAATAACACCAATAGTACAAAGAACAACAGAGGAGAACACTTCCAGTGGTAAATAAATGCTTCATAGAATAAAAAGGTATGCATGCTTCATCTCTTAAAGCAATAATTATTTATCCTGCAGTGCTATTGTGTTGGAATTTAATCCAAGGGCACTTTCCATTTGACCAAAAAATCTGGTTTGCAATTGAAGGGGTGCGTGCAAAAAAGCCCTAAGTGACTCCAAGTCAATTTTCGGTAAAATAGCATTTTCTTGTTTCATGCAATTTGAGTAATTATTACTCATTTTCCAAAATTTTCTAGAAAAGATGACAGCCTTGTGAGTTACATCTACATCTTTCTTACCAAGAATTTTATTTTCATACTGAATTTATCTGGAATTTTCGGCCGAATGGTACGCCTCTCAGAAATTTGTAAACTTTAATATCCATAACATTTGCCCCTGTTCCAAAACTTATGGAATTTTTGATTAAATTGAAAGCACCCCAAGATCCCTACATGCAAATGAAATCTGCTATACTGTACTTTCTTACAATGTGGTGCAACCATTGCATAATAAGATGACATGCCATGTTTAACTTAATAAAACAATTTTAAACCTAAATTCCAACAGCAAGAATTAATTAAATTTAGAATAACCTGTACACGAACATTAAAATTATTTTGCTGGTGAAACCACTTTGTTATGCTTATTAATATTCACATTATTGACTAGAAAAATAGGACATCTCTAACTCTACTTAAAGGATGGCAAGTTAATGTGTGGAAGTGACGGCATAGATGGTAAATTTAGATTAGGTTTTGGAAGATTGTGTAAGTTAGGACTAATATTTCTGACAGCAGACATGGCCCTCTGAGGTGCGGCACTTATTCCGGCCTAGGGAAAAAAAAGAACAAGAATAATTTATTAGCATCACCCTAAGTAAATGAGCCCCATGCAGTTGTAACTTCCCTTTGAGCACGAGAGGCACCGTTAATATTGCACCTAGGCTTTCATGCACCTCTTACTTTAAGTCCACTGGAAAAGAGATGACTGCTATGTAGAGCAAATGTACTGTGCCTACCCATACTAGGAAAAAGAAACAGTTTCCACAGCATCACATCTGCTCAGTGGTTGAAAATGTTCAAAGTTACATGTGAGCCACAAGAGCACACATGTCAAGGAATTGAAGGTATAAAGCATGGTTATTGACACTGATTATCAAAATGTGAAACCAAATGCTGCTAATACTATACAATGTACGGTGTACATGTGGATTCAAACAGAAATTGTATCCAAGAGGAAAGTAAGCTATTGGGTTATTTTCTGCAATTGGCTTGCTTGTAAGGCTGATTTACCCCAGTATAGCTTTTACTAAATTGAGACATGTGACAAGTTTACAGCATGACAATGACACAAGGTACTTGAGTCGTGTAAATGAAAACCAAACCAACAAAATGCTCATGATTGTCGTGGACAACACAACAGTATAAAATGATATAGCAAGCAAACTACAAAAATTGAACTGGTCGAGAGTAAAATGAGCACTTACTTCTGATTTTTCTAGTTTATTCTGTGCTTCAATGTGAGTCAATATTTCAGACATGTTGGTTTCTAACACCATGCCTCCCATCACAATTTCTTGTAAAATATAGTGAACCTGTACAAGAGAGAGCATATGGACGAATATTACCAGGTGTTTTACAGCAAGAGCTTCAAGGAATAATTATATTATTATTATTACCATTATATATCAAATGGTAAACCATATAATATCACTATGAAGCAAATTTTTCTGGCCCTAATCCTCATTTAGAAAGGAGGACATGACGATGCTGACAATGTTTATAAGCTTGATTTGCAATGTTCAATATAACTCTTATGGCTTTGCTACAAACTTGTTCCTTAACCCAATACACATAATCTTGTGCAAAAGTAGCTTGCATACCAAGCATTTCCCATAGAAGCCCAACAAAATTGAAACCGAATGTGAAAAAGCTCTATGCACGTCAGGTACAGTTGTATATTTTGCAGGTTGCAGGTTGCAGGTTGAAACGACTTGTTTATTTGAGTTGAAATCAAATAAATCCCAGTATAAAGGCTAACCGCAAGCAACCTGAGCCCATGTAGGCTAACTGGAATGCTATTCAGGCTAACCAAAGTGCTAAGTACTTGGAAAACATACCTGCCCCTCTATGTAGGCTAGAGCAAAAGTGGTAGAAATTTAACATTAAAAAAAAAAAGATGAATTTCCTAATTTTAAACAGCTCTAAAAATATTTGCTCAATCAAGAAAAGGCTGTATGTAATGTCTTACCAAGTATCAATGTTAAGAACTACACTCGAGTTGTTAATAAGGCTTATTTTCTTGCAGTGAGCTGTCTTTTTATCAAGTACAGTGACCCTTTTCAAATGATTTGTGTTTTAAGTAGTTGATAGTACATAAAATAATGTTGTGATTTCAGTTGAAACTCTTCTTACGGACACTTCCATAATAAGGTCATCTCAATATTACGGACTGTCATTTGGTCCAAGCGAGTTCAGAATTCATACAATCTTTACCTCTCTTTTATTAGTAATGACACTTCCATAACACAGACTTGCTGCTTGGCCCCTTTTACATCCGTGTTAGAGACATTTGGCTGTGTTTAGATTTTTATAGATAAAATGTATGACCTCAGTCAAATGGGAAAGCTGTCATGTTTTTAATGTCTCTACAAGTGCAGCTAACCTTAAGTCTATAAAATAATTAAAACATGCTGTGGAAGTAGCTACTGACACTGAACACAAAACATGCAGTGCTTTAAGAGCGTCTATCAAAGAACATATTAATGTTGCAGTTCCTAGGGAGTAATGCTTTAAGTACCCCGACAAACACAAGCAATAAACACGCGTTCTATGGTGTAAAGGGGGGAACACGAGAAAGACTTCTATAATGTTCTAATGCTTTACAGTTCTATTGGGTTACGTTTAACAACAGTAAGCTAGTGACTGTACGTAAATAGCGTCACGCGCCATTAACTGCGCTTTAACGATTGACTTTAAAGCTTTAATTATCATACATGTAGTTTTGGTTTTTGCCCACCTTGTCCATATGAAATATGAGATCCAGCTCACAAACATTTTCAAAACACTTGTCTAAAGTTTCCACAAATACCTACAATAGGGATAAAAATATAATATTACAATGTGCATTACATAAATATACCATGTGCAACAGACCAGTCATAAAATTCTGGAATGTTAGTTTTTACCTCCTTGTCTTTTTTTGTTTTGGCAAGTCTCTGTTTCTTAATGGTTACCAGATCTCTTTTATTTATTGCCTGGCAAAAACGGTAATAACAACAAAAATGATCTTGCACATGTACAGTGCTTGAAATTAAAAAAAAATCCAGGTTGTCCCTATTTCAAAAACTGGGCAACCAAACACGTTAATTTGGTTACCCTGATGAATCCTTGGTTGCCTGTTAGAAAAACCTACACATTTAAGTGCACTACTCATAAAAACATCCATTTTTGTCTCCTTAGTAAAGAAATAAAGAATTTGAGAACAATTATGGTAACGATCCTACCTTTATTTACCCGCCGTGTAGAATCACATGGCGGTCAAGCTTGAACTAATCTCTTAGTGTGAGTCAATGGTTTTCACGGAAGTCTGCGTTTAAGTTGTGGCATATTCAAAATGGCGTCTTTGATCTTGATCGCCTCCAGACAAGAAAACTTTGTGTTTTTCTCTTACATTTTTGTACTTGGCAATGTCTTGTAAAATTCACAGATATCCAAAACACAGGAAAACGCTTAGCTGAGGCAAATTAATTTTTATTAACTTCACACTATCGGAACATTGACAATACAAAACCGTAATGTAAGTTGGGAACTGTTTATGATTAATTTATTTTCTATTTTTGGCTGGGTTGTCTGTTGTTTTTTTCCTTGGGCAACCAGCCTCTTGATTTTACCAAAAATTGGTTGCCTGGTAAACGTTTTGGTTGTCTTGGATGATCAGACGACCGCTAATTTTGAGCACTGCATGTATACACAATGAATGAAGTCCTAGGATCTTGTCCCTGGGATGTATCTCTCTGATCAAATTAACTGTCACCATTGGCCAACCAAACAGACATGCATGTAATTATTACAACCAACAATCAAATTATAAGTTAACGTTTTCACACCAGCTCACCTGAATAAGATCAAGAATTCCTAACTCACTCTCAGAGGAGTCCACACAGAAAACAAAGTAAAGAGTAGCATAATGTCGGTAAATAATCTTGAAGTCAGAACCACCAATCAACCTAGAATGAGCATCGATCAAGTTAACTTTTTTCAATGAATTACTTAACAGTTAATCCTTGTTGAGAAAACGTTATACATGTATTCACCTCTGTTATGTTTCCAGAAAGTGGGATATGTAACTTACAAGGTAAACTGATGCTAATTCATTTAGAAAAACCAGGAGAACTTACGTTCCTCCTTCTAAGAAATTGCAAACATTATCATCTCTCCTAGAGACTATGTGAAATGTCTCTCTAATGATCTGATGCTGCATGTCCTCAGACTGAAACATTTAAGAAAAAAAATTACGTAAAATTAATTATACCTGCAAATGTCCATTAATTTTTATTTTATTATTTAAAAACAGCTTGAAAAACATATCCAGTATTCAACCTAAGAATTCATTTCATCACTCTTCTAAAATCAACTCTTGCACAAGACAATTTCACAGTTAAAAAAGCACTTAGGCCATAGGCACTGAGTAAGGGATTGCCATCATCATATTCTTTATGTTTTCAGTTTTCAAAGGAAAAAAGAACAGACTTGGTTATATGAATCCCTCTTGAAACAAAGGTCAATGAATATTTTGTCAATATTTATGAATAAGTATTTGGTTTGATTGGTGGTATTAACAGGATAAAGTTATATTTATATAGAAGGATTAAATAGGTTGGGATTTCAAANCAACGATCTTTTAATGAATTTTCTTCTGATCAACTCATAATTAACAGTTATCTTGTAATCAGTACATCAGCAACAAATGCTGAAGAGAAAAGAACAGCAACAAAAACAAACAAACAAACATTTCATTATTCGAGCGTTTAGAATACACCTCTTCACGCTCTAATGGACATTATGCGTAATCGGGGCAAATTGACAAAGAAGCAAATCGTCGACACCCTTGTGCTCACCCATCTTTCAAAATGTCACGATGTCACACGCGTGGCTAAAGAGAGGATCTGGGTACGAGATCAGGCTGCCATAGTAACGTGCGAGAGATCAAGGCTGTTTTTTTTAACTTTTTTATTTATTTACTTACTATTTTACTTGTTTCGGTGGTTTCGTTTCGTTTTTTCGGGTTTTAGTACATGCCCCGTTACCGTACCGTTTCCGAAAACAAAACAAAACAAAAAAAAGCATCATTTCAGAACCAAGATTTACCTCTCGCACGAATGATTTCCATAAAAATGAACGATAACTTCTTTCTCCAATCAAGCAATAAAACAAGCACGTTGTAGCTACTATGAATGGCAACTTGTCCTAATGATTCGATTTAGCACCAGAGGCAATAATGTACTTTTGGAAGCTTAAGAGAGGCCGCTTATTGGAGAAGGGGCGTTTATCAGGGTGTGAGCGTGACCGTGAGCGTGACCGTGAGCGTGACATGTGCTTGCAGTCTAGGTTTTGCTAACCCTTTTGACTATTTTGACAACAGCGCTGATAATTACATGAACATCAATCAACATTTTTATTGACACCAAAACCCTTTTTTCTTCTCAATTTTCCCATTTTTGTAAAGGTACCATAAGCAAATGATCTCCTGCTATACTGAAAAACAATAACACCAATAGTACAAAGAACAACAGAGGAGAACACTTCCAGTGGTAAATAAATGCTTCATAGAATAAAAAGGTATGCATGCTTCATCTCTTAAAGCAATAATTATTTATCCTGCAGTGCTATTGTGTTGGAATTTAATCCAAGGGCACTTTCCATTTGACCAAAAAATCTGGTTTGCAATTGAAGGGGTGCGTGCAAAAAAGCCCTAAGTGACTCCAAGTCAATTTTCGGTAAAATAGCATTTTCTTGTTTCATGCAATTTGAGTAATTATTACTCATTTTCCAAAATTTTCTAGAAAAGATGACAGCCTTGTGAGTTACATCTACATCTTTCTTACCAAGAATTTTATTTTCATACTGAATTTATCTGGAATTTTCGGCCGAATGGTACGCCTCTCAGAAATTTGTAAACTTTAATATCCATAACATTTGCCCCTGTTCCAAAACTTATGGAATTTTTGATTAAATTGAAAGCACCCCAAGATCCCTACATGCAAATGAAATCTGCTATACTGTACTTTCTTACAATGTGGTGCAACCATTGCATAATAAGATGACATGCCATGTTTAACTTAATAAAACAATTTTAAACCTAAATTCCAACAGCAAGAATTAATTAAATTTAGAATAACCTGTACACGAACATTAAAATTATTTTGCTGGTGAAACCACTTTGTTATGCTTATTAATATTCACATTATTGACTAGAAAAATAGGACATCTCTAACTCTACTTAAAGGATGGCAAGTTAATGTGTGGAAGTGACGGCATAGATGGTAAATTTAGATTAGGTTTTGGAAGATTGTGTAAGTTAGGACTAATATTTCTGACAGCAGACATGGCCCTCTGAGGTGCGGCACTTATTCCGGCCTAGGGAAAAAAAAGAACAAGAATAATTTATTAGCATCACCCTAAGTAAATGAGCCCCATGCAGTTGTAACTTCCCTTTGAGCACGAGAGGCACCGTTAATATTGCACCTAGGCTTTCATGCACCTCTTACTTTAAGTCCACTGGAAAAGAGATGACTGCTATGTAGAGCAAATGTACTGTGCCTACCCATACTAGGAAAAAGAAACAGTTTCCACAGCATCACATCTGCTCAGTGGTTGAAAATGTTCAAAGTTACATGTGAGCCACAAGAGCACACATGTCAAGGAATTGAAGGTATAAAGCATGGTTATTGACACTGATTATCAAAATGTGAAACCAAATGCTGCTAATACTATACAATGTACGGTGTACATGTGGATTCAAACAGAAATTGTATCCAAGAGGAAAGTAAGCTATTGGGTTATTTTCTGCAATTGGCTTGCTTGTAAGGCTGATTTACCCCAGTATAGCTTTTACTAAATTGAGACATGTGACAAGTTTACAGCATGACAATGACACAAGGTACTTGAGTCGTGTAAATGAAAACCAAACCAACAAAATGCTCATGATTGTCGTGGACAACACAACAGTATAAAATGATATAGCAAGCAAACTACAAAAATTGAACTGGTCGAGAGTAAAATGAGCACTTACTTCTGATTTTTCTAGTTTATTCTGTGCTTCAATGTGAGTCAATATTTCAGACATGTTGGTTTCTAACACCATGCCTCCCATCACAATTTCTTGTAAAATATAGTGAACCTGTACAAGAGAGAGCATATGGACGAATATTACCAGGTGTTTTACAGCAAGAGCTTCAAGGAATAATTATATTATTATTATTACCATTATATATCAAATGGTAAACCATATAATATCACTATGAAGCAAATTTTTCTGGCCCTAATCCTCATTTAGAAAGGAGGACATGACGATGCTGACAATGTTTATAAGCTTGATTTGCAATGTTCAATATAACTCTTATGGCTTTGCTACAAACTTGTTCCTTAACCCAATACACATAATCTTGTGCAAAAGTAGCTTGCATACCAAGCATTTCCCATAGAAGCCCAACAAAATTGAAACCGAATGTGAAAAAGCTCTATGCACGTCAGGTACAGTTGTATATTTTGCAGGTTGCAGGTTGCAGGTTGAAACGACTTGTTTATTTGAGTTGAAATCAAATAAATCCCAGTATAAAGGCTAACCGCAAGCAACCTGAGCCCATGTAGGCTAACTGGAATGCTATTCAGGCTAACCAAAGTGCTAAGTACTTGGAAAACATACCTGCCCCTCTATGTAGGCTAGAGCAAAAGTGGTAGAAATTTAACATTAAAAAAAAAAAGATGAATTTCCTAATTTTAAACAGCTCTAAAAATATTTGCTCAATCAAGAAAAGGCTGTATGTAATGTCTTACCAAGTATCAATGTTAAGAACTACACTCGAGTTGTTAATAAGGCTTATTTTCTTGCAGTGAGCTGTCTTTTTATCAAGTACAGTGACCCTTTTCAAATGATTTGTGTTTTAAGTAGTTGATAGTACATAAAATAATGTTGTGATTTCAGTTGAAACTCTTCTTACGGACACTTCCATAATAAGGTCATCTCAATATTACGGACTGTCATTTGGTCCAAGCGAGTTCAGAATTCATACAATCTTTACCTCTCTTTTATTAGTAATGACACTTCCATAACACAGACTTGCTGCTTGGCCCCTTTTACATCCGTGTTAGAGACATTTGGCTGTGTTTAGATTTTTATAGATAAAATGTATGACCTCAGTCAAATGGGAAAGCTGTCATGTTTTTAATGTCTCTACAAGTGCAGCTAACCTTAAGTCTATAAAATAATTAAAACATGCTGTGGAAGTAGCTACTGACACTGAACACAAAACATGCAGTGCTTTAAGAGCGTCTATCAAAGAACATATTAATGTTGCAGTTCCTAGGGAGTAATGCTTTAAGTACCCCGACAAACACAAGCAATAAACACGCGTTCTATGGTGTAAAGGGGGGAACACGAGAAAGACTTCTATAATGTTCTAATGCTTTACAGTTCTATTGGGTTACGTTTAACAACAGTAAGCTAGTGACTGTACGTAAATAGCGTCACGCGCCATTAACTGCGCTTTAACGATTGACTTTAAAGCTTTAATTATCATACATGTAGTTTTGGTTTTTGCCCACCTTGTCCATATGAAATATGAGATCCAGCTCACAAACATTTTCAAAACACTTGTCTAAAGTTTCCACAAATACCTACAATAGGGATAAAAATATAATATTACAATGTGCATTACATAAATATACCATGTGCAACAGACCAGTCATAAAATTCTGGAATGTTAGTTTTTACCTCCTTGTCTTTTTTTGTTTTGGCAAGTCTCTGTTTCTTAATGGTTACCAGATCTCTTTTATTTATTGCCTGGCAAAAACGGTAATAACAACAAAAATGATCTTGCACATGTACAGTGCTTGAAATTAAAAAAAAATCCAGGTTGTCCCTATTTCAAAAACTGGGCAACCAAACACGTTAATTTGGTTACCCTGATGAATCCTTGGTTGCCTGTTAGAAAAACCTACACATTTAAGTGCACTACTCATAAAAACATCCATTTTTGTCTCCTTAGTAAAGAAATAAAGAATTTGAGAACAATTATGGTAACGATCCTACCTTTATTTACCCGCCGTGTAGAATCACATGGCGGTCAAGCTTGAACTAATCTCTTAGTGTGAGTCAATGGTTTTCACGGAAGTCTGCGTTTAAGTTGTGGCATATTCAAAATGGCGTCTTTGATCTTGATCGCCTCCAGACAAGAAAACTTTGTGTTTTTCTCTTACATTTTTGTACTTGGCAATGTCTTGTAAAATTCACAGATATCCAAAACACAGGAAAACGCTTAGCTGAGGCAAATTAATTTTTATTAACTTCACACTATCGGAACATTGACAATACAAAACCGTAATGTAAGTTGGGAACTGTTTATGATTAATTTATTTTCTATTTTTGGCTGGGTTGTCTGTTGTTTTTTTCCTTGGGCAACCAGCCTCTTGATTTTACCAAAAATTGGTTGCCTGGTAAACGTTTTGGTTGTCTTGGATGATCAGACGACCGCTAATTTTGAGCACTGCATGTATACACAATGAATGAAGTCCTAGGATCTTGTCCCTGGGATGTATCTCTCTGATCAAATTAACTGTCACCATTGGCCAACCAAACAGACATGCATGTAATTATTACAACCAACAATCAAATTATAAGTTAACGTTTTCACACCAGCTCACCTGAATAAGATCAAGAATTCCTAACTCACTCTCAGAGGAGTCCACACAGAAAACAAAGTAAAGAGTAGCATAATGTCGGTAAATAATCTTGAAGTCAGAACCACCAATCAACCTAGAATGAGCATCGATCAAGTTAACTTTTTTCAATGAATTACTTAACAGTTAATCCTTGTTGAGAAAACGTTATACATGTATTCACCTCTGTTATGTTTCCAGAAAGTGGGATATGTAACTTACAAGGTAAACTGATGCTAATTCATTTAGAAAAACCAGGAGAACTTACGTTCCTCCTTCTAAGAAATTGCAAACATTATCATCTCTCCTAGAGACTATGTGAAATGTCTCTCTAATGATCTGATGCTGCATGTCCTCAGACTGAAACATTTAAGAAAAAAAATTACGTAAAATTAATTATACCTGCAAATGTCCATTAATTTTTATTTTATTATTTAAAAACAGCTTGAAAAACATATCCAGTATTCAACCTAAGAATTCATTTCATCACTCTTCTAAAATCAACTCTTGCACAAGACAATTTCACAGTTAAAAAAGCACTTAGGCCATAGGCACTGAGTAAGGGATTGCCATCATCATATTCTTTATGTTTTCAGTTTTCAAAGGAAAAAAGAACAGACTTGGTTATATGAATCCCTCTTGAAACAAAGGTCAATGAATATTTTGTCAATATTTATGAATAAGTATTTGGTTTGATTGGTGGTATTAACAGGATAAAGTTATATTTATATAGAAGGATTAAATAGGTTGGGATTTCAAAATGAGGCCATAGGCCATATTAATAGGGCCACTGCATCAATAAGGTTTTCTTATAGAAAATGTATGAGAGTTTTGCCAGGACAAAAAAGTGGCTGTCATAATGAGGTGACCATAATTAATGAGGTGACTGGAAGGGGCGGAGGAGGGGGGATTGAAGGGACTGTAGACGACATCAAGAAACAACTCTGTTCTTTGAAAAGTTGTGGCTCGCAACAAAAAAAGCCTTTGAAAGCTTTGTGTTGCATTTAAAGGTAACAGTTTTTCTTGTAAACATTTTATTACTTATAAATTTGAATGAGATGTAAGCAATACTTGGGACACAGTGGAAGTTGAAAGTGGGTGTTCGAATGTTTTGTCCATTACCCCTTTTCGCCATGTTAACGTCCCAGAGGTACGGGGTGGCATTTAGTCGCCTATAAACTCCTGAGTAGTAAGCAATTTTGGCCTGGGAGATGGGGATTTGACCAACTGAAAATTTAAAAAGGCTATTACCTGGTTTGCGTGTAAACTAAGCATAAGTTGAGCTTACCATCATTTTCATTAGCTAACTGCTAATAAGAATTAAGCTTATTGTAAAGGAAAGTTTGCGCTCTCCTAGATCGTGTAAAATCAAAAACCTTTTGAAGGCAGGGTACTTACGTAATGAGTAAAGAATTTGGTCATCCGTGGTTTTCCATGGTTGTTGAATACAAGAATTGCTTTGATCATCTCAAAATAAGAAAAAAAGGAATGAAAGTAGACAATTATTCACTCCTTCGATCATGAGCGTTCAAGATGGCCGTCAATAGATTTCCCATAGTCCCTTGGTTGGAACCGAGTTACTACTCCGTGTAAGCTGCATAAAAGTCACATCTCATACACCTGACTCAGCTTCTATGACTCCTCGAGTTGTGAGATAATTTCAAAAATGGGGTGACAGAATCAATGCACAGTAGTTTCATATAAATCAAACATAGAATTACTCAATCTCTCATCCTCTATAATTTTCTCTCAGTTTTCCTGATGACTTTTTTTCTTTTAACTCATTCAAACTCAGCGTTTCCTGTTTGACACCGAAGGTCATAACAAATGCTACTGAAAGCCAAAATCTTGTTAGTCACTATTGTAACTAACAATAAGATCGTGACCTCAAGATTTGTATGAGGAGACATTTGCTGGGGCTGGAGGCAAATTAAATCAAATATAAAATCGAGCTGCTCTGTTCATATGATTCTTTTTTAAGAAAGAGAGAACAAAATTAACCACCTGTTTCAACAATAGTGCTGCCCAGGGGCAGGGGCAGGATTTTTCTTAAGAGGGGTGCACCACCAAGAAATGGCATAACTGACTGGTGAGGTAAACAAATTTTAAAAGCGAATATGATCTAATACAAAGAAGAAGGCTTCATCTTGANTAATATTTCTGACAGCAGACATGGCCCTCTGAGGTGCGGCACTTATTCCGGCCTAGGGAAAAAAAAGAACAAGAATAATTTATTAGCATCACCCTAAGTAAATGAGCCCCATGCAGTTGTAACTTCCCTTTGAGCACGAGAGGCACCGTTAATATTGCACCTAGGCTTTCATGCACCTCTTACTTTAAGTCCACTGGAAAAGAGATGACTGCTATGTAGAGCAAATGTACTGTGCCTACCCATACTAGGAAAAAGAAACAGTTTCCACAGCATCACATCTGCTCAGTGGTTGAAAATGTTCAAAGTTACATGTGAGCCACAAGAGCACACATGTCAAGGAATTGAAGGTATAAAGCATGGTTATTGACACTGATTATCAAAATGTGAAACCAAATGCTGCTAATACTATACAATGTACGGTGTACATGTGGATTCAAACAGAAATTGTATCCAAGAGGAAAGTAAGCTATTGGGTTATTTTCTGCAATTGGCTTGCTTGTAAGGCTGATTTACCCCAGTATAGCTTTTACTAAATTGAGACATGTGACAAGTTTACAGCATGACAATGACACAAGGTACTTGAGTCGTGTAAATGAAAACCAAACCAACAAAATGCTCATGATTGTCGTGGACAACACAACAGTATAAAATGATATAGCAAGCAAACTACAAAAATTGAACTGGTCGAGAGTAAAATGAGCACTTACTTCTGATTTTTCTAGTTTATTCTGTGCTTCAATGTGAGTCAATATTTCAGACATGTTGGTTTCTAACACCATGCCTCCCATCACAATTTCTTGTAAAATATAGTGAACCTGTACAAGAGAGAGCATATGGACGAATATTACCAGGTGTTTTACAGCAAGAGCTTCAAGGAATAATTATATTATTATTATTACCATTATATATCAAATGGTAAACCATATAATATCACTATGAAGCAAATTTTTCTGGCCCTAATCCTCATTTAGAAAGGAGGACATGACGATGCTGACAATGTTTATAAGCTTGATTTGCAATGTTCAATATAACTCTTATGGCTTTGCTACAAACTTGTTCCTTAACCCAATACACATAATCTTGTGCAAAAGTAGCTTGCATACCAAGCATTTCCCATAGAAGCCCAACAAAATTGAAACCGAATGTGAAAAAGCTCTATGCACGTCAGGTACAGTTGTATATTTTGCAGGTTGCAGGTTGCAGGTTGAAACGACTTGTTTATTTGAGTTGAAATCAAATAAATCCCAGTATAAAGGCTAACCGCAAGCAACCTAAGCTCATGTAGGCTAACTGGAATGCTATTCAGGCTAACCAAAGTGCTAAGTAGACCTCAAACTTAAAAGTCGATTTTTCAACCTGCAACCTGGAAAACATACCTGCCCCTCTATGTAGGCTAGAGCAAAAGTGGTAGAAATTTAACATTAAAAAAAAAAGATGAATTTCCTAATTTTAAACAGCTCTAAAAATATTTGCCCAATCAAGAAAAGGCTGTATGTAATGTCTTACCAAGTATCAATGTTAAGAACTACACTCGAGTTGTTAATAAGGCTTATTTTCTTGCAGTGAGCTGTCTTTTTATCAAGTACAGTGACCCTTTTCAAATGATTTGTGTTTTAAGTAGTTGATAGTACATAAAATAATGTTGTGATTTCAGTTGAAACTCTTCTTACGGACACTTCCATAATAAGGTCATCTCAATATTACGGACTGTCATTTGGTCCAAGCGAGTTCAGAATTCATACAATCTTTACCTCTCTTTTATTAGTAATGACACTTCCATAACACAGACTTGCTGCTTGGCCCCTTTTACATCCGTGTTAGAGACATTTGGCTGTGTTTAGATTTTTATAGATAAAATGTATGACCTCAGTCAAATGGGAAAGCTGTCATGTTTTTAATGTCTCTACAAGTGCAGCTAACCTTAAGTCTATAAAATAATTAAAACATGCTGTGGAAGTAGCTACTGACACTGAACACAAAACATGCAGTGCTTTAAGAGCGTCTATCAAAGAACATATTAATGTTGCAGTTCCTAGGGAGTAATGCTTTAAGTACCCCGACAAACACAAGCAATAAACACGCGTTCTATGGTGTAAAGGGGGGAACACGAGAAAGACTTCTATAATGTTCTAATGCTTTACAGTTCTATTGGGTTACGTTTAACAACAGTAAGCTAGTGACTGTACGTAAATAGCGTCACGCGCCATTAACTGCGCTTTAACGATTGACTTTAAAGCTTTAATTATCATACATGTAGTTTTGGTTTTTGCCCACCTTGTCCATATGAAATATGAGATCCAGCTCACAAACATTTTCAAAACACTTGTCTAAAGTTTCCACAAATACCTACAATAGGGATAAAAATATAATATTACAATGTGCATTACATAAATATACCATGTGCAACAGACCAGTCATAAAATTCTGGAATGTTAGTTTTTACCTCCTTGTCTTTTTTTGTTTTGGCAAGTCTCTGTTTCTTAATGGTTACCAGATCTCTTTTATTTATTGCCTGGCAAAAACGGTAATAACAACAAAAATGATCTTGCACATGTACAGTGCTTGAAATTAAAAAAAAAATCCAGGTTGTCCCTATTTCAAAAACTGGGCAACCAAACACATTAATTTGGTTACCCTGATGAATCCTTGGTTGCCTGTTAGAAAAACCTACACATTTAAGTGCACTACTCATAAAAACATCCATTTTTGTCTCCTTAGTAAAGAAATAAAGAATTTGAGAACAATTATGGTAACGATCCTACCTTTATTTACCCGCCGTGTAGAATCACATGGCGGTCAAGCTTGAACTAATCTCTTAGTGTGAGTCAATGGTTTTCACGGAAGTCTGCGTTTAAGTTGTGGCATATTCAAAATGGCGTCTTTGATCTTGATCGCCTCCAGACAAGAAAACTTTGTGTTTTTCTCTTACATTTTTGTACTTGGCAATGTCTTGTAAAATTCACAGATATCCAAAACACAGGAAAACCCTTAGCTGAGGCAAATTAATTTTTATTAACTTCACACTATCGGAACATTGACAATACAAAACCGTAATGTAAGTTGGGAACTGTTTATGATTAATTTATTTTCTATTTTTGGCTGGGTTGTCTGTTGTTTTTTTCCTTGGGCAACCAGCCTCTTGATTTTACCAAAAATTGGTTGCCTGGTAAACGTTTTGGTTGTCTTGGATGATCAGACGACCGCTAATTTTGAGCACTGCATGTATACACAATGAATGAAGTCCTAGGATCTTGTCCCTGGGATGTATCTCTCTGATCAAATTAACTGTCACCATTGGCCAACCAAACAGACATGCATGTAATTATTACAACCAACAATCAAATTATAAGTTAACGTTTTCACACCAGCTCACCTGAATAAGATCAAGAATTCCTAACTCACTCTCAGAGGAGTCCACACAGAAAACAAAGTAAAGAGTAGCATAATGTCGGTAAATAATCTTGAAGTCAGAACCACCAATCAACCTAGAATGAGCATCGATCAAGTTAACTTTTTTCAATGAATTACTTAACAGTTAATCCTTGTTGAGAAAACGTTATACATGTATTCACCTCTGTTATGTTTCCAGAAAGTGGGATATGTAACTTACAAGGTAAACTGATGCTAATTCATTTAGAAAAACCAGGAGAACTTACGTTCCTCCTTCTAAGAAATTGCAAACATTATCATCTCTCCTAGAGACTATGTGAAATGTCTCTCTAATGATCTGATGCTGCATGTCCTCAGACTGAAACATTTAAGAAAAAAAATTACGTAAAATTAATTATACCTGCAAATGTCCATTAATTTTTATTTTATTATTTAAAAACAGCTTGAAAAACATATCCAGTATTCAACCTAAGAATTCATTTCATCACTCTTCTAAAATCAACTCTTGCACAAGACAATTTCACAGTTAAAAAAGCACTTAGGCCATAGGCACTGAGTAAGGGATTGCCATCATCATATTCTTTATGTTTTCAGTTTTCAAAGGAAAAAAGAACAGACTTGGTTATATGAATCCCTCTTGAAACAAAGGTCAATGAATATTTTGTCAATATTTATGAATAAGTATTTGGTTTGATTGGTGGTATTAACAGGATAAAGTTATATTTATATAGAAGGATTAAATAGGTTGGGATTTCAAAATGAGGCCATAGGCCATATTAATAGGGCCACTGCATCAATAAGGTTTTCTTATAGAAAATGTATGAGAGTTTTGCCAGGACAAAAAAGTGGCTGTCATAATGAGGTGACCATAATTAATGAGGTGACTGGAAGGGGCGGAGGAGGGGGGATTGAAGGGACTGTAGACGACATCAAGAAACAACTCTGTTCTTTGAAAAGTTGTGGCTCGCAACAAAAAAAGCCTTTGAAAGCTTTGTGTTGCATTTAAAGGTAACAGTTTTTCTTGTAAACATTTTATTACTTATAAATTTGAATGAGATGTAAGCAATACTTGGGACACAGTGGAAGTTGAAAGTGGGTGTTCGAATGTTTTGTCCATTACCCCTTTTCGCCATGTTAACGTCCCAGAGGTACGGGGTGGCATTTAGTCGCCTATAAACTCCTGAGTAGTAAGCAATTTTGGCCTGGGAGATGGGGATTTGACCAACTGAAAATTTAAAAAGGCTATTACCTGGTTTGCGTGTAAACTAAGCATAAGTTGAGCTTACCATCATTTTCATTAGCTAACTGCTAATAAGAATTAAGCTTATTGTAAAGGAAAGTTTGCGCTCTCCTAGATCGTGTAAAATCAAAAACCTTTTGAAGGCAGGGTACTTACGTAATGAGTAAAGAATTTGGTCATCCGTGGTTTTCCATGGTTGTTGAATACAAGAATTGCTTTGATCATCTCAAAATAAGAAAAAAAGGAATGAAAGTAGACAATTATTCACTCCTTCGATCATGAGCGTTCAAGATGGCCGTCAATAGATTTCCCATAGTCCCTTGGTTGGAACCGAGTTACTACTCCGTGTAAGCTGCATAAAAGTCACATCTCATACACCTGACTCAGCTTCTATGACTCCTCGAGTTGTGAGATAATTTCAAAAATGGGGTGACAGAATCAATGCACAGTAGTTTCATATAAATCAAACATAGAATTACTCAATCTCTCATCCTCTATAATTTTCTCTCAGTTTTCCTGATGACTTTTTTTCTTTTAACTCATTCAAACTCAGCGTTTCCTGTTTGACACCGAAGGTCATAACAAATGCTACTGAAAGCCAAAATCTTGTTAGTCACTATTGTAACTAACAATAAGATCGTGACCTCAAGATTTGTATGAGGAGACATTTGCTGGGGCTGGAGGCAAATTAAATCAAATATAAAATCGAGCTGCTCTGTTCATATGATTCTTTTTTAAGAAAGAGAGAACAAAATTAACCACCTGTTTCAACAATAGTGCTGCCCAGGGGCAGGGGCAGGATTTTTCTTAAGAGGGGTGCACCACCAAGAAATGGCATAACTGACTGGTGAGGTAAACAAATTTTAAAAGCGAATATGATCTAATACAAAGAAGAAGGCTTCATCTTGANGGGGGGGAGGGGCACACCCGCCCCATAGATCTGCCACTGCTGCCTACTTCAAAACTTTGTGACAAACCCTAAATACATCAAAAACATTAAAGCTAGCATAACTTTAATAACATCATTCACATTTACAGGGCATCATTTACCGGTACATAACTTTACCTACAATGTATATTACAGACAACTGAAGCGAAATGAACAAAGTGACATTACATTAGCTTTGCACTTAGTCTATCATTGGTAAAACAGTTTTCAAGGTATAATTATAAGGCTAAGAGTCAATTGAAGAAGAGTTGATGTAGACCAACTTAATGGAGAATGTTAAATAGACTCTGCATCTGCAGTGTATTACCTAAGCATCATTATTGTAAAAATACACAATAATGAAAAAAGTTGATTTCAGCTGCAATAATGGAACATATTTTATTGATTACTGGCATTCCTGCATGTAAACTTTAAAACAGACACAGAAACAAATTTATCTTTTTCTTGCCCAGTGATCACAGAATACAGGGTGCATACACAAAAGAGAGATCCTTCCCACAGGACAATTGTTTGGTGACCACACCCAGCCTCATGCCTTTTACTGCTTACAGCTTAACTGCCCTTGATGTACACATGAGCTACACATCGTCCCAGAAACCCTGTATTCCTAAAGTTTGGACCCTAACTGGGGAATGAAAGGAATGTCGCAGCAGGATCACGGAACTGAAAAAAACTTATAACCTGGTCACTTTGCTTTCATGAATCAGATGCGCGCTTTGTGGAATGAGGCACTAATACAAAAGTCCAGCCTTGCCATCAGTACATATTGACAGGAATGGATTGGAATAGAATGGAGCAGAATGACCCCATAGACTCTGAATGGGCCACAATGGACCAGGAGACTGGAATAAGCTGGAATGAGCGAGATTGTAAACTGTATGTATTAACATGTTTTGGATCATGTATACCAAGACATCTACAGTTGAGTGTTGATTGATACCCTTGATCAACACTCGATAAACATCTTGATCAACACTTGATGGATATCTCAATCAATACTTAACTTAGGATAGAGGGCCACTGGTTCGTCAGTTTTTTATTGTTACGTGTTACCCTCTGTAAATAAAGTTGTTACTTACTTACTTACTCAGTCGACACTCAATCAACATCTTGATTGATACTTGATTGACAGTTGGCTGATAATCAGCTAAGTGTCGACCAACTCATGTGTATCAATTGACATTCAATGGCATCTTCGAAAATTAGCTGACTTTTGACTGAGATGTCAATCGAGTGCCAACAGAGTGTTGCCTGAGGGCATTGATCAACACTCAACTGCAGAAGCCTTTAGTACACATGGTCCCATTGTTTTTTTCTTTTTAGACTCATTCCGATCTATTCCAGTTTCATTATTAGTTTCTATCTTGGGCCATTTTGTTTCATTCTGGTCCATTTCAGTCTGATTCTGGCTCACACTAGTTCTTTTAGTTTCACTATGGTCCAGTTTGGTTGTTTTTCATGTCAACACAGTACCATTCCAGTCCAGTCTGGGGATCTTGTGTACAGTATTTAAATCTGTTGGTTGACCGAGTATCGACTGACACTGTTTATGGACATGTTGACCAAATTTTGGTTGACACATTGACTGAGTATCTGCCAATATGTTGACTACCCCATTAGGGATGGCCGATACTAGGCTGAGATCGGAAGCCTTAAGTAACCTAGTCTGGTTCATTCCACTCCCTTCCTGTCGATTCGTTATGTTTGCTATGTGCGTTAAATAAGTAATACCATGCCTATTGATCTATGAATTTTTTGCTCACCAGAAAACAATTTTTTTTAAGAGTTCCTACTTGAGCAATGTTCCTATGAGTGGTGCAGTCACCAGCTTAGTGTTCTCACAAATTAAGCTCATGCCAATGGATCTACTGAATTTTGCTTCTCTCTTGACTCTGTCCAGGCCTTTGCAATGGTTCTCTTCATCTCATCATCACCCTCATCATACATCTTCCTCATCAAATCCATGATGCCTTCTCCTGGATCCTTGTTTTCATCAAACTTTGGTTGCTGTTTTGAGTTCTTGTTTTCTGCTGCTGTTAAACAGGACCAGTTCTCTTCTTTGCTCTTGTTCAGAAGGATACTGAGTTTCCCGGTTTTAACTTTCACTGAGCTCGACTTGGGGACAATTGGATGAAGCAAATTGACCATCTGAAATTGGTAATTCTTGCCTTTCAGTCCAAGTACCTTCAACTCCAAGGAATTGGAGGTGAATTTCGAAGAAACGTTTCCTTCTGGCAGAGTTTCCACCTCTGGCAGAGTAATGTAAATTTTCACGAACTTCGACGATTGGTCCCAAGCGTAGGATGTAATTTTTGTTAGGGTCACTTGAGGTTTCTTCACTGCGGGTTTTTTCTCCACTTGGACCTGGGCACATGGTTCACCTTCGCTCGGGTTTTCTGTTCGTTTTTCCACGGAATTGATCTCACGTTGTACGAGTGCCAACTCATCTTGCAGAAGTTTCTTGACGCGAGGTCGAGTTGCAGTTGAAAGAAGGCTCTGAATTTCGTCTCTGGTCTCTTTTAACTCTTGAACTTCCTCCATAATGGCAGAAAATGTTCTCTCAAAAAGCGAAATCAAAATACTCGTGGCCGATCAATATCGAATCGTCACATGCTGCCAGACCTTGGCCGAGACAGTCTTGACACTAGTGACCAATCTCCCACTGCTGAGTCGCGACGGTAGATAGAATCCGAGAGAGTGCAGTGTTGTGCGTGTTGTTATTTTTGTTAGAGCATTTTATGTTTTTCGTGGACAATGAAAAAATGGATAGTGCTTCTTGGTGGGGCCATGTTCTGTGTCCTGTTCTTCTCCATGTACTTGGTAGTTGATCAGTTAGGGCGATTGCCAAGCTCTCAAGAAATCTTCAAAGCCGAGGTAAATTTGCGGGAGAGAGCTACTAGCTTGTAGCTTCGTAGCTGGTAGATTGTGAAAACAAGAAAATTACAGTTTAGCGCAAAGATACGAAGACATTTAAACAGAGAAATGAAACCTCTCAGTGAATGAAATCATAAATATAGAGAGTTTGTTGAAGAGGAGATAAAGAAGCCGCAACTTATACTTTCACACAGACGCGAATGCGCGAAAGCAGGAGAAATGCACGCGCGCGAGTCGACAACAGGTTTTCATAAAACTTGCATATTATTAACGTTAATTAAGTATTTAACTCTTTGTGCTTGTGTGTAGTGTTTCCACCTGTTTAGCCATGCTTACTATATTTTTTTTCTCTTCTTCGACTATTGGTTGTTTGGGATTCGATTTGTACAACGTCTACAGGGGGTTTCTATGCACTATGTCAGCTTTAAGCCACTGACCTGATTAAGCTTATAATTATTATGACTTTAAGCTTTTGGTTTTGTAGATTACAATTTGGAATTATTCCACGAATTTTTTTTGTCTGTGAACCTTCTTTCTTCTCCGCTCTAAATAACAGGATGATGATAATAATAATATGTTTTGAAAGAAAATAGTTGAAATTGAGGACTTGACACCTCTCCAGTTTTGCATGAAACACCCTTTGGATTTGAGCTTGAAAAGTTGACACAAGATAATTATTGGTTTGAAAGATGATTGATTTCACCAAATTAGATCAGAATGCAGCTTAAGAAGTTTTGTGCAGCTCATAACATTGATAATATGTGATACGTATAAAAAAAATAATAATAATTATAATTTTTATAGAATGGAATTTAGTGATGGAACTTCGCTTCATTAAGATTTTGAGTAGCAAGTTAATGTTAAAAGATGACCTCTTAACCTGATGTTATAGTCTTTGTCTTGCATGTATACAATATACTGTTATTGTTTAATCCCACTGTGGACACTTTTGTACTTGTGATTTCAGAGTGTGCCTAAGTTACAATCTGTTCACATGTCTATCCACCTGTTTTGAAGCTGCATAAATAGAATAATTGGCTTCCTCTCAATGAAAATAAAAGGAAATTTAAAAAAAAATAGATTTGTTTAAGTGCAAAATAAACTAGCAAAAAGTACAAAAATATGAGAACATTGATTTTACTCATGAATGAATTCTCATGGACTATGAGGAGTTTCAAAATATTTTGAAGTACAGTAGGCATCTGCAGCTGAAAGAGTTGGTAGCGATGACACAACCGCATCCTGTAAAATACAAAATACAGCGGATGCTTTAAGTTACTAGCTTCCTATTGCATAAAAAAAATTTGAGAATGAAAAAAATTGCAAAATTGAGTGTGAAGTTACTCTGCCATCTTATAAAACACATGCCGAGCTTGTTTATTGCAAGCTAATTGCTATAAACCAGATTAGCTGGCAATATATAATCAAGCAGACGACAGAACTCTGGCAGTTGGCAGCTTGTTTTGAAAACACTGGGTTATCAGTATTAAGTTGTATTGGAACATGGTATATTAAATCTTGATCTTGAATAGGATTATGGTGTGTGGTGTATTTCAGAATTGGAAGGAGAGATATCAAGTTTATAGTTAATAATTATTATTGATCTAATTCTCAATACATATAATAAATGAGGCACTTAACATGCACCTGACTTACAAGTGGTTAAACTTTTATTTTAAAACTACATGTAAATTTACAAATAATTATAATGACAAAATGTTTGAGCTTACGACTGATTCCAACAATATTTTTGTTGTTGTCACTTACTTGGAGCGTGGAATAGCATTGTTGAAATAGAATCCTGTGATCTGGTACAGGGTGTGCTGTACAGGTCCATGTAACAGATTGACCCTGTTCCTCTGATATACTCTGAGCATATAATAATTATACCAACAAAATTATTTTGCTTATATAGTGCTGCCTGACTTTAGGAATTGGGGAAATACTGATAATTGTTAATAAGGCTGGACTGGCTATGTTTTCGAGTGACCATTTACACAGTGTTGCTACAACGTTTTGCTTCAAATACATGACATTAAGTGAGTCAACATGTAAGAAATTAATTTACTGTTGCTGTATATTTCAGATGAAACAGAAAGTTGAAGATCCTCTGAATGCTCTTGAGAAAGACATTAATAAACTGGAAGGGAATATACAAAGATCTGGTAAAATTATGAGCAATATGCAAAATAGTGTTGAGAAATTAAAATTCAAAGGACACAAACCAATCCCTCCTGTTAAAAAACAAGAGGATGTGCCATTAGTAAGAAGACCTGAAATGCAAGCCAGTGATGTGGACGATGGTTGTGTGTTCTCTGGGACAGCATCAGGAAAATCTGCAAATGTGAAGGTAAGAACTAGAATTTGCTTCTCCTTTGGTACATTGTGTAAGCGTGAATTACTGCAGGGCTCCAAAATGGTGCCGTCCGTTCATCTGGGACAAGTAGATTTTCCTGGCAGGCAAGTACCTGTACCTGTAACTTTTCATTCTCACTTGCCTGATGGGCAAGGGTCCAGGCAAGTTGTCTGCCAACTCAATTTAAAAAGAGGAAACCAAGACTTACATGTACCCAGGGCAAGCAAATTTGAGAGCTGCTTCTCCGAAGGGCAAGGTGGACTTCAAGTGTTTTTCGAGCCCTGTACTGGCTGTTATTAATAATACAGTTGAACCTCTCCACAATGACCACCTTAGGGACAGAGGAGAGTGGCATTGTAGAGAGTTGGTCATTATGGAGAGGCATGGGCGGGGTGTAATCTGACACCTTTTTTGAGGGGAGGGGGGGGGCAACTTGTTGTTTCAAAAAAATGCTTAGTTAGTATATACATGTACAAATCAAAATGTATCAATAAAACAGAAACTTAACAGAAACAGAGTCCAACGACACACAGTGCAGATCAAGTTTGGTGACCTTGTAGAGTAACAAAATGGGGTTTTGTATATGCTGTTTAGTCATTCAGTGAATAACTGGCCATTGCCAAGAGGTTATTTTGGCAGCTGGGCTGAGTTTTAGTGGCCATTGTAGATAGGTTAACATAACAGTGAATATATGGACTGTCTGCCGAGACCAAAAAAACTTGCCGTTGTAGAGAGGTTTGACTGAAATTTATTTATTGTATCTAATGATAAAATTTGCTTCCTGTATGCCATGTAAATAAATCCCTCATTAATCAGGCTTGTTTGGTCAAAATGTTTGGATATTGGTCTTGATCTTTGTTTACCTGTTTAACTTTGTAGAAGTGTTTGTGAACTTCCAAAAAGGATCTTGGCTAATTTGCAGCAATTTTGACCTCATGCTTGGTCAATAGCCCATATTAAGTGTGTGATAGTATTTTTAAAATTCAAGCCAAAAAAGAATTTAATAAAAACTTAGTCGCTCACACTCGTAACTTGCATGTAGTTGTTTCAGGTGAGTAGGTGCTCATTAGAATGCAGCCTTGAATATGGTGACCTACAGTGTTATGGCTAGCACATTAGACTCCAGATTGGGCAGACTGACCTTCAAAAGGCCCTTTGCATGACCATGTCACAAGGCCTTGGCAGTCATAATGAAGAAATAAGAGTGTGTTGAAATTAGTAAGATTTACAATTCAGAGGCCACTCGTTTAAAGTGTGAGATGTTATGGCAATCTCAAGGTTTAAAAAATTAACAAGACATATAAGTTAAAAGGAAAAACACCGCTGGATGGTAAGCCTTGCCATCCAAAATACAAATTAATGTGCAAATCATTTATATTTTCCAACTATGAAACTGTCCTAAAATCTCACACTAAAACGTAATCAGCCTCAAAATTGAAACTCTTAAGATCAACCCTCCAAGTTAACTTTTTTCCTTAGTGGCCATTTGGCCACTGACTGTTCAGGTTTGGTCGCCAGTGAAAAATTTTAGTTGCCAAAATATATGCATAAATTAATAATTAATAAATAAATAATAATCTTATTATTATCTAACTGTATTATTAATAACATTTTCCTTGAACCACCAAGTAAATTGAAGTCCCGTTCAGTGAAAGAACTACCTANTCGATGGCACATGACCGGATTGCGTGTGTTGTCTCATGCTTCCAGGTAAAATTGTCACGTGCCAAAGTTCAGTCGAGTGGAACGATTTTCGTTGCGTCCCAAGCTCAACTGAATGCAATTCCTTGATCTTTGTTTACCGTGTAACATTTCATTTTATTCAATCTCCATTTCTGTTGGTTAAAATCCCACAACAACTAGCTTTGCAAAGTGAATTCTTAATACTCAGAACGTTTTTCTTTTCACTCCAGATGATAGTCCGCTCAAGCTCCTGACGCACAGGTCACATTAATTTTAGTCGCCGAGCTGGCGACTTGTGTTCTAATTTAGTCGCCAGCTCCAAAATTCTAGTCGCCATGGCGACTAAAATGGTCGCAACTTGGAGAGTTGAAGTTACGTGTACCAATTTCATCATGCCCGTTTCTTTCCATTTGTGGTTTCTATTTCCTTCCACACTGACCAGGTCACATGACATGGTCATGCAAAGGCCCCATTCATTGTGCCATGTTCTTGGGCCATTCTCCTCCCAGGGGTATAAAGGGCTGGTGCTGCCAAATGAGTGAGTGAATAATTAAATGATAATATGTATAATAAATAATAATGATATGACTTCCTTTGGGCTCCTGGACATCCAACTGGCATCCTGCTGACAATGTTGATATAAACTCTCATTACAGATGTTAGACATGTTTGATGTGATGCCGTTTGATGACATTGATGGCGGTGCATGGAAGCAAGGCTGGGATGTGCAATATGATGATAAACAATTTGATCAAGAACCACTTAATGTTTTTGTGGTACCTCACTCACATAATGATCCAGGTATTGTGTGTTTTGAGTAATATAGTTACATGCAGGGGTGTCTGGGCCCAAGCATTACATGTATGTTAAAGGCAAATTGTAATGTTACTACCACAGTGCCCTTCTCCACATACTGTCCCATAGGGTATCATTATAAATAAGAAGTTAGATGATAATAATAATTTACATTTTTTTAGGATGCATTTCTCAGCTCAATGCACCTAATAGCAAATAATTAACTAAGTGAAATAGAACAAATAAACAACTAACCAAAATAACTAACCAGTTGCTTCTAAAGATGATCCAGATCCATCCAGGGGGACAGTGTGTAATTCATTGCTTCTTGTTATAGAAATTGGGACGAGTTATGGAAGTGGATTGCTTTGGCCATGTGCAGACATGGTCTTAAAATAAGTTTGAAGTCAAAATGATTTCAAACTACTGAAAGCTGAAGTTTGATTACAGTATTTTATATTTTCCTTTGTTATTAAAAAAGGATTGTGGTTTACTGTTATTAATACATTTGGAACAAAAGAAAATACGTCAGATAAAACTACATGAATTTTTAGTTCCTAAATTTCTTTTTATCTTCGGCTTTATAATATATACAATTATACTACATCAGTAGCAAAAAAAAAGTTTCACAATATGACCTACAGGATTAAAGAGTCAGTGCTCTCAGGACTGTATAAATTGAGTCTACATGTACATAGCAAAAGTACCACTTACCTAGAGCCACACTTTTGTGAGCTCTTATAGAAGGATTCATGCTGACGTCATTGTTTACATAATTTTTGCTCATTTGCATATGTCTTTGCATACAGAAGGAAACATGTTAGATATGAATTGACTCCAGACAGCCAAAGAGCTAGTGAAACTTAATACATGGTGAAATTTTTAGCTCTTTGGGTGTAACATTCGAGGAGATATTGTCTTTAAAAAACTGCAGAATTTCTGGGTGGCAAAGCATTAATGAGCTCATATATTCTTTGTAAAAGTTTGAGTTTTTGAACCCTTGTTGCACAGAACGTATTCAATACATCAGGCTCATATTCATTGGTAGAGTTAATCATACTATGACCTTTCAATATTCAG